GGGGATACGGAGCAAATAGAGCTGCATGAGGATGGGGGATGTGGAACCTGGTGTTGGAGAGGACATGGATTGCGGAGTTCTGTATAGTTTGCACCATGTGTAGGGAAGAATTGGTGAGTCCAGTAAGCAGAGCATTGGAGTAGTCAAGAATGGATGTGATAAAGGTGTGGATGAAGGTCTCGGGCTAGAGGAGAGAGGTAGTGTAGAGGGAGGCAATGTTTTAGACGACAAGGAAAGCTGAACATGTAAGAGCACAAATAGGAGTTGAAAAAGACACTGAAGTTCCACACCACCTCTGTGGGGTGGACTGTGGCACCCATGTAGATTGATGTTGTCAGTGCCTGAGGTGAGAAGATTTTATCGAAATCCAACTGAAGAAAGTTAGAGTTCATTTAGGACTTCTTGTCTGACAGGTAATTGATCATGAAAGCAGTGGCCCACAAACAAGCCACGGAATGAGCAACCGATTTTATTTGAGGGATTGTCATCCAAGCCCCCAGAAGAGAGAAACTCCCTTCTCTTTTTGAATAGAACAGCTGGGGAAACATGTGTGTGTATCTTTCTGTGTGTGTGTGTGTGTGTGCCTTTCTTTTTGTGTCTCTCGTCTCCCTTTGTGTGTGTCTCTCTGTATGTGTGTCTCTGGTCCCTGCGTCTTTTTCTGTGGGGATAATGTTTGTCACAATCTATTGCAATAACTCATGGTGTGAAATGAAGTGAGAGATGGAGGTGAGGAGGCCAGGGGTGTGTGAGAGGTATTCAGACACTGAGAGAATCAGACCAGACGGGTCCCCGGGTTCGGAACGCTCCAGTCTTGCTGCTCTGTAACTCGGCGAGAGATGTAGACTCACAAACCAAGCCCCATGCATCCATGCTCGCTCCTTACACCATTTCTCGCCAACTGACACAACGTGGCTCGTCATGATGCTGAAGTTAAAGAGAATGTGTCTCCCACTGGCAATCAGTGAGTATCTATCTCTGTTCTTGTCTGTTCACAATCCAGAGATCACATATAATTACCTAACGTTGCCCAGCTTCATGGCTCGCATTTACCCAGCACCTCTCCCCACAGAGAGACGTCTCACAACACTTCATGGCTTATATTTACCAAGTGCCTTTCACCCAGAGAGTTACATTTACACAGCACCTTTCACCCTTTGTCCCAAAGCGCTTTGTAGGATACACTGTAAAGCGCAGTGACTGTGATTTGTGGGCGAATCCGGAAGCCATTTGAGTGACTGAGCCTTGGGCTGAGAGTTGCAATGCAAGTTATCATTGTTGCCGTTGTGTCTCTCAATCTCTTTCGCACAGGTCGGGTGCTTCCAACCTTTCAGAGAGCCAGCCGGGGAGCAAACGTAACAATGTCTTGTGCGATGGAGTCATTTGGGCGATTTATTGGTTTAAGATCAAAGCAGGTCACATTTCCCCATCTCTGATACTAAGCTACCATCTCCTTACTGGGATCCGTTACTGTAAAGCGCTCTGAGATGCCGTCCGACGTGGAGGGCGCTATATAAATCCAAGTTGTTGTTGTTATACTTCACGGCTTTGCTTGCTGTCTGGATTTGGTGAACGCTTCAATCACAGTGGGTACCACAGGGGCTCGTGGAGTTAAGTGTACAAAACATGCTACCAGAAGATTCCGCCACCTATATCTGCTCTTCGGAGATAGCCAGCAATGTGAGGCTGGGAGACGGAACCAGTCTTGTGGTTACGGATGAGAGATCAGGAGTGGGTGGGTGGTGTGGGGGGAGAGATGACCAAGAGCACAGTCAACTGCATCAGTTTTGAGATGGAGAGAGCGAGTTGGAGGGAATTCAGGATGGAGCAGACAGTACCAATGTGGGGGGAGCGAGCACCAGTATAGACTCAATGGGGAGGGAAAAGAGAGCAGAGGACTGGGGTTAGAGTAGAGAGCTCAGAGGAACACACTAACACTTGCACACCTTTCTCTTGCTCATCAGATTCACATACTCCTCCACCCCCTACCGCACCACTTCCCCCATGCACAATTATTACAGGATGTGCTATGTTGATTACTGCAGAGATGTATCGCCTGTTACGTGTAAACTCACATTTGCTGAGGCACACACACACACACACACACATTTGTGCATGCAACCACACACACTCATACCTGTCCTCCCGCAGCTCACACAAAGACATGCACACACACGCACACTCACATACACACAAATAAACACACAACACATGATGACACACTTGCACACACCTGTCACGCCTACCCTTCCCTCATAAATGTACACACAGTGGATCGATCACTAAGTCATGTATGGACATGATGGGGGGGAAGAGAGAGCAGGAGAATGTGGTTAGAGTAGTGAGCATATCTTAGTTGTGCAAAAATGTGAAACTCACAATCATTTCCCTTCTGACCCTGGGAGTGAGACTTTCTAGCTCTGTACCCCCTGCCCTTGCTAGGAACTCGCTCCCGCCCACACTCCAGCTGTTATGCAGCTGGGAATCCAGGCACGATGACCTTCCAGAAATTGGGATTCAGGTTGGGAATGCCGACGACCTCTATGTAATCGGAAAAAACAAAGATATTCCTCAAAACAGAACCCAACATTACTGCAGCATCTCACAGACAGGTACAGAGACTCAGTCAAACCACATGCCTGTAACTCACTCCCACCCTGGAGAGGGTGTGTTATTCTATATAAACTTCTTTGAATTAAATTCCAGCCTGTAACTCACTCTCAACCCGGAGAGGATGCATTATTCTATATTATAAACCTCCAAACCCTTGGATTAGATTTCAGACTTTATGTCTCTCTAACTACAGACCAGCACTGGCACCTAATAATGATATTGACAATTCTTGGAGCTGTTTCTCTTGTGCTGCCAGGCTCTCTCGCTCTTGTTTTGGTTCGTGCAGAATGCCAGGAGGTTAATTCTTATCCACTGCCTGTCTGTCTCTCGCTTTCACACACTCTCTCTCTCGCTGTCACACTCACTCTCTGTCTCTCTGTCCCTCTCTCTCTAATTTTCTGTTGCTTACACTGCCCCCCCCTCTCTCTCTGTCTCTCTTTTAGTTTCTGTCTGGCTATCTCTCTTCATCTCTGTCTGTCTGTGTCTGTCTCTCTCTCGGTGTCACATTCACTCTTTATCCCTCTCTGACTTTCTGTTGCTTACACTCTCTCTCTGTCTGTCTCTCCCTGAGTCTCTGTCTGTCTATCCCTATCTTAGTCTCTGTCTGGCTTGTCTGTCTGTCTCTCTCTCTTAGTCTCTGCCTGTGCGAGTGTCTGTCCATGTGTGTGTGGGTAGGTATTAACACATGCTCTGACACAAACCTTCTCCCATCACTTGCCCCTACAGGAGAATGTACAATGCACAGTGGTGAGGTTTGACCCTGTGCCCAGGGAATGCAGCCCATTAACCAGCCTGGCTTTGCATTGAGATCAGGAACCAGCTCATGATCAGCCAGCAAGTCTCAGACCTCACGCATCAGCCCATCCTGAACTACCAAACCGCAGCAAGCACACTGGGAATCGCTGTGAAGCTCTCAGCGACGTCTCTCTGGGGTGAAAGGCATTGTGTAAATGGAAGCCGTGAAGCATTGTGAGACATCTCTCTGGCTGTGTAAATGTATTTCGCTGTGAATCTATTTACCCACGATAAACCTTGTGGTTAATAACAGTAAATTGGAGTGAACAGGCCACAGACAGGAAATGAGGTTTATCATCTCTTGCACTGCGCTGCTCCTTCCCTCCCTCCCCCTAGCACTGCACTGGAGCGTCAGCCTGGACTGGGAGCTCAAAGTCATGGGGTGGAGCTTGAACACAACAACAACAAACTGCATTTACTCAGCACCTTTCACTTTAGGAGGATGTCCCAAGGCACTGGACAGTCGAGGGTTTGCACCCCAGCTGGGGTGTGGATTCGAGAGAGGGGTTGGGAGAAGATGACTGAAGGCACGGTCAAACCACACTGCCTTCTGACAGAGAGAGACTGAATGTGTGAGAGAGAGAGAAAGAGAGAGGCTGACCAAAAAGACACACACAGACTGAGACAGAAAGAGACACACACAGACTGAGACAGAATGGTGTTCCTGTCTCTGATTGCCAGCCTGTCGGGGCTGAGCTGTGGATGGTGTTAAGCTGGTGCCTGTGATATCTCTCACTCTAGTCTCTCCCACTCACTGTTCACATCTTTGGAAACTGAGCGAGAGGGCTAGACATTGGTTTCTCACCTCAGCTGCTCGCCTCGCAAACCATGACCCAACAATCAGCTATCACCTCTGTCCCCTCATTACACTTCACAGTAATAACTCCCTGCTTCCTACTGACTCTATATGTGTGTGTCTCTCTCAGTCTGTGCGTGTAAATGCAATTTTTTATGAATGTGAGAGGCAGAAAGGTATCCCCCCATCCTTGCACAACTCCACTGGCTTCCCATCACACAGAGGATACAGTTCAAGATCCTGGTCCTCACCTTCAAAGCCCTCCTTTGGCCTCGCTCTCCCCTACCTCCTAACTCCCTACCCATGCTGCTCGCTCCTTACGCTGAGCGGGCTCCGATCTGCTTCACGTCCACCGCCTCGCTCGCCCCACCGTTGGCAGACGGGCCTTCTGCTACCCTGCCCCCACCCTCTGGAACTCCATCCCACAGTCCCTCCGCCTCAACCCCTCCCTTTCCATCTTCAAGACCCATCTCAAGATCCTCCTCTTCGACCGTGTTTTCGATCTCCCTGCTTCGACCCCTGCCCTCCACCCTCCCCGACCCCGACCCCAAGCTCGGGTCCGAAACTCTGACTGTCCATGCTCATTGGGACATCCTTCCGATGTGAAAGGCGCTATACAAATGTAATGTTGTTGTTCTGTCTCACTCACTCGCTCCTGACTCCCTCCCTCCCTCACTATCTCTCTCACTCCCTCAATGTACTGCATTTACCCATGAGGTGCAACCTCCCACCCCTTCTTTCATCTCTCCATTCACTCGCTAATCCACTCACTCACCAATTGACTGACTGTTGTTTCATGTTAACAGTATTAAATATGGCAGAACAGGAGCCTCTAGGGATTGAGGTTATTCTGGATGAGGAAGCAGAGTCCAGAGCTCCTATGTGCCCACATGGTAAGAGCAGATTTTTTAAAATCCTGAATTTGAGAGAGAATTGTGCAATCTGGGAGCTTGTGATTGCTATCACTTCACTTCACTCCTACTGCTCTACCTCTGCCGACTTCTCCTCCCCTCCTTCAACCTCTACCTCCACATCCACTCTGCCACCAATGTTCATGGTCAACCCCTCGACCTGGTGATCACCCGGAGTACGTATTGCTTTGAGGAATGAAAATGCTCACAGGAAAGGTGGCCCAACCGTGGCTAACTAGAGCAGTTAGGGAAAGTATAAAGTTAAAGGAAGAAGCCTACAAGACAGCTAAGATGAGTAGTAAACCCGAGGATTGAGAGAACTTTAGGGATCAACAAAGGCGAACCAAAAAAGTGATTAAGAGGGAGAAAATGGAATATGAGGGCAAACTAGCGAAGAACATAAATAATAATAATAATCCTTGCATTTGATTTAGCGCTTTTCACGTCGGGAGGACGTCCCAAAGCGCTTCACAGAACACACTGTAAAGTGAATTGACCGTATATTTGTGGGCGAACGCAGCAGCCAATTGCGCACAGCAATGTCCCACAAACAGTCGTAGATTGAAAATGACCAATTTATTATTGTTTTTTTGTTTTGGAGGGATTATTATTAGGCTCTGTGTGGAGTAAGGAAACTTGCCCAAGGTTTCGCCCTGCCTGGAATTGAACTCAGGTCTCTCACTTGCAAAGCGAGTGCTCTAACCACTGAGCTACAGGACTCCACAGACAAACTGCAAGAGATTTTATAAATATATAAAGAGGAAGAGGCTGTCAGAGGTAAATGTGAGTCCGCTACAGGCAGAGACGGGGGGAATTACAGTAGGGGACAAAGACATGGCAGAGTCATTAAACAAGTACTTTGCTACTGTCTTCACCTTAGAAGACACTGAAAACCTACCAAGAATAGAGGGGATCCAAGAAGACAATGTTAGCGAGCAACTTGGGGGAATTAATATTAGTAAAGAAATGGTTTTGCAACGGGATATAGATACGCTAGGGGAGTGGGCGAGTAGGTGGCAGATGGAATTTAATGTGGGGAAGTGTGAAGTTATTCACCTGGGTAGAAAAAATAGAAAAACAGATTACTTTCTGGAGGGGGAGAGATTAGATAGTGTTAGTGTGCAGAGGGATTTGGGTGTCCTCGTACACCAGTCTCAAAAAGTTAGTTTGCAGGTGCAGCAAGCAACTAAGAAGGCGAACGGCATGTTAGCGTTCATTGCAAAAGGTTTAGAGTACAAGAGTAGGGAAGTCTTGCTGCAACTGTATAGGGCTTCGGTGAGACCGCACCTGGAGTACTGTGTGCAGTTTTGGTGTCCTTGTTTAAAAAAGGACATACTTGCCTTAGAGGGGGTGCAGTGTAGATTCACTCGGTTAGTTCCTGGGATGAGGGGACTGACCTATGAGGATAGGCTGAATAAACTAGGGCTGTATTCTCCAGAGTACAGAAGAATTAGGGGAGATCTTATTGAAACATATAAGATTCTTAAAGGGCTGATAAAGTAGACACTGAGGGACTGTTTCCCCTGGTAGGAGAATCTATAACCAGGGATCACAGTCTTAAAATTAAGGGTCAGCCTTTTAGAACAGAGTTGAGGAAACATTTCTTCACTCAGAGGGCAGTGAATTTATGGAAGTCACGACCCCAGAAGGCTGTAGATGCTCAGTCCTTGAATATATTCAAGGCTGAGACTGATAGATTTTTAAAAAACAGAGGGATTAGGGGTTATGGGGATAGGGCAGGTAATTAGAGTTAGGTCAGAAGATCAGCCATGAATAGCGGGGCACAGGCTCGAGGGGCTGAATGGCCTACTCCTGCTCCTAATTCTTATGTTCTTATTTGTGCCCTCTCGCACCTGACTCCGTGACCCTATCACCCCCATCCTCACCGACTCCATTGGTTTCCCATCACAGAGGATGAAGTTCAAGATCCTGTTCCTCACCTTCAAAGCCCTCCATGGCCTTGCTCCCCCCTACCTCCGCGACCTCCTTACCCTCTACCAACCTGCTCACTCCCTCCGCTCAGCGGGATCCAGCCTGCTTCCCGGCCCCCACCTCACCCGCCCCACCGTTGGCAGGCGAGCCTTCAGCCACTCCGCCCCCAACCTTTGGAACTCCATCCGGCAGTCCCTCCGTCTCACCCCTTCCCTTGCCTTCTTCAAGACCCGTGTCAAGGCCCTCCTCTTCAAACGTTCCTTCGATCACCCTCCTCCCCCCACCTGATCTCCACCCTCCCCGATCCCGAACCCCAGCTTAGGTCCAAAACACTGATTGTCCAACGCGTTGGAACGTCCTCCTGACGTGAAAGGCGCTATACAAATGTAATTTTGTTGTTGTTGTGACTCAACAACCTCATAACATGCTGCACTGTTATTGCAACAACTTGCACTTATATAGCGCCCTCCATGCATGTAGTCTCTCAGAGTGCTTATCATTATGATAATGATTTAAACAATCCTATACAACCACCTAATTTAAACTTGTGTAAAGTGAGGGCATTCAACCTTGGAGCAAAGTCAGGAATGTGGATTTATGATACGAAAGATTGAAATTGATTGGAAACCCATTTAAATTATGAGCTGTGGTTATTTTTCAGAATGAGATACAATAAAAGTAGGTCACATTTACTAAATCAAATTGGGTGAGTTTCACTGTAAATGTTTGAAGTTTGACAGTTCGGTAAATAATCACTGCATATGTAGGCCATTTGTTTACAGTGATCTGTAATGTTGCATCAACAATAACTAAATAAATCAAATTTGAATCTTTTATGCAGAGACAACTTGTCTATTAAACGTCATGTGAGTATCTCTAAGCAACTGTTTTAATTTGACTTCATTGGGTTCTGAAAAATTGTGAGAACATCTTTCATTCTATAGTGAACTGTTTTACCGAATGAGATTACTGTAATTAGAAATTATGTGAAGATTGTATGAAAGCCAATCTGAACAGCTAATTTGCACCAGGAATATCCTGCAAACAATCATAATCATATTATAATCCTTGCATTTTATTTTGTGCCTTATCACGTCATCGGAACATCTTAAGGTGACTCACAGGATTTACTGTAAAGTGTAATTATTGTGTATTTATAGGCGAATGAGAAGGAGTAGCCAGTTAATTTGAATTTAGAGTGAATTTAGCTGATGAGTGAATTTAAGGTAGGATAAATTGGAGAACGTTTCAAGTTTCTTTTAAAAACAGCAGAGCCGCTTAATCTGTCACACAAGACATGAGACTTTAATAAATGACTCAAATCAGAAAGGATGATGATCCGAAAATAAATAACGTATTTATTGCAAAATATGGGCAAATATGAAAAACAACCTATAATAATAGTCCTTGTGTTTGATATAACACCTTTCAAGTGAGGAGGATGTCTCAAAGCTTCACAGGATTTTAATGTAAGCTGTAGTGACTATGTATTTTGTAGGCAAATGTGGCAGCCAGTATTGCATTCAGCTGTGTTCCACAAACAGTCATGATTGATCAATTTTATGTGAGAGGATTTTTGGCCAGGACCCTGGGAGGAACTCCCTGGTCTTTTCAAATTATACCATGGAATCGTTTATTCCCACCTGAATGGGCAGATGGGACCTCAGTTTACTGTTTCAGCCAAAGGACGGCACCTCTAACAACGCAGTGCTCCCACAGCATCTTGTTGGGAGTGTCAGCTTAGACCGTAAATTCACATTCCTTACGTGTGGCACACTCTGGAACTTATTAATTTTTGTGAAGGTATACACTCTTTGGTTGAAGGGGGGAAGCTATTTTTAGTGACCCAACTGAGCTAAGCTGACTCACTGATACACTTTGAGATGTCTAGAAAACGTGATAAGGCGCTATATCAAATGCAAGGATTATTATGTTTCTCTTACTTTTTTGGGGATTAGAACTCTTTCCCTCACCTCAACAACAACAGCTTTCAGTTATATAGTGTACTTAATAATAAATAATAATCCTTGCATTTGATATAGCGCTTTTCACGTCAGGAGGACGTCCCAAAGCGCTTCACAGAACACACTGTAAAGTGAATTGACTATATTTGTGGGCGAACGCGGCAGCCAATTGCGCACAGCAATGTCCCACAAACAGTCGTAGATTGAAAATGACCAATTTAATATTGTTTTTGGTTTTGGAGGGATTATTATTAGGTGTGTGGAGTAAGGAAACTTGCCCAAGGTTTCGCCCTCTGCCTGGAATTGAACTCAGGTCTCTCGCTTGCAAAGCGAGTGCTCTAACCACTGAGCTACAGGACTCCACATGGGATAGATTCTCGGAGCGCTTAACAGTGGCGGAGCTTGATTTCTCTCCCCCCCCCCCCCACCCACCCTCCTCGTTCACTTTCTTCCCTCTCCTTTCCCTGCTTCTTTCCTAACCCCAATTAAGTGGGATCAAATGTCATTTCTTGCTTTCATTGACTAGTCCATGCAAATGATCTACCCAACGTATAGTAAATGTACAGTGTTAAACTGGTAAGTGGATAAAGGAGAACTTGTATTACTACAATAAGAGTATTTGAGATGAAACAATAATCCTCCTCTTTTGTTTACCCAGTATGACATTGAGGTTATGTTCAGCATTTGTTAACAAAGTTGGTTGCTAAGACCTCTGCTTAAAATCATTTCCACATATTAAAGCTATGCTCCATAGCTTTTTTTAAAAAAACAACCATCCCTATCATATCATTATTGGCAACAACTACAGTTTACCTTAGATATTGCTTTCAATTTAAAATGTTCCATTGCCTGTTGTTGTGACAAGTTTCAAGACTAATGAGCCCTTCGGAAATTGTATCTTTGATGTATCTGCACTTGGAATTATAATAATCATTGCTTTTGATATTGCTCCTTATCGATTGAAAAGTCTCATAAAGTATTTTACAGTTTGTTTTAACAGTGTATTTTACAGGCATACTTACAGTCAGTTTGTGCACTGTGATGTCTCACAAACAGCCAGAAAGTGATGTTGTTATCTAGGTCAACATGATCCAACAAGCTGCCCGGTGGATCATTTAATCCAGCCAGAGACCATTTCCAACTTCAGATCGCCCGCTCCCTCCCTCTGTCCTCTCATGGCAGCACAGGAATAGGCGGTCAGGAGGATGCAGCGCGGCGAGTGGGAATATTACAAGCCTTTACTGCAGTGTGTCAGGAAGTCACTCCCAAGCTGAGGGAGGGTCTTCCTGACAGGTAAACTGGTCTCCTTATCCGCCGCCTCCTTACCAACCACTGTCTCCAGCCGCCACAGATAGTGAGAAGTGCGTTTGAATGTAATTAAGAGAAGGAGAGAGTGTGTGAGAGAAAGGCGAAAGGTGGGGGAAGATAACTGGCTGCGCTTTCAGCCATCTTTCCCACTCTTCATCCCACCTCCTGCCTCGGCTCCCACCCCCAGTTCAAGTGCCCAGCTGGCAGTGTCGTGCGCTTTGAGATGTCCTTCTGACATGAAAAAGACGCTATCTAAATATTGTTATGTTTCTGGAAGGGAGACACAAAAATATTGCTTATGCGGCCCACGAATCTTTGTCTAGAAGGGCATCTGGCCCTCAGCATCCAAAAGGTTGGACCAATCTGGTCTGGGTGATTGTTAGTCAGGACACTGAGAGAAGCTGCCCTTTCTTTCCAATAAATATTTTGGGAATTTCTTTGTGTAGGTGGAACACATACAAAACTCTCAGTCTTAGTTTGGAGATACTCTTAAGCAAAGTGATGGGTTTCGTACATTTCAGACACCCGGCTGCCCCCATCCCCCCCACCCCCCACCAAATAAACAAACATTTTTTCTATCTAGGGTTTGTTGACCAGGATACTGAGAGAAACTGCCTTTTCTTTTTGACTCGTGCCTTTGGAACTTTTTAAAGTCCGTCTGAACAGACACCAAAGACCTTTGTTTGACGTACCATTTTAGTCAGCTGAGTGTCTGAGATATGCTTAAGAGTATCCAAACTGGACTAAGAGTTCCACATCTGTAAGCATAAGGAAATTTCCGTATGTCTGGAATGCATTGTGCGCACTACCTGGAGGATCGCACCCTCCTTAGTTAATGCTGGAGAATATTAGGCACGAGTTGGCTAGAGCCACGCTCGTGCCATTGAGAACACTGTCTGGCAAGCGTCCTGTTTGACTTGGTAAAGCCACCTACCCCATATACACATTCCAACAGGAAGAATCCTTTCTCACAGTGGCTGGTCAACCTATCCCTGTAAGTCCTGGTGATGAGCCAGGCTGACTGGTCTGTCCTCACCAGTGCTCTGGAGTACTATGGACCTGCTTGGCTCGGGAACTGTATCATCTTTACTTCTATCGCGCTATCCCAACACTGCATTAGAGTGTCAGCCTCAAATACTGAGCAGTGCCATCCCAGTCAGTGGAGTCTGAGTTTCCTTTCGCCTTTTGCTTTCAGGTTACTCCTCTTTTAAAGTGTGGTGTATGAACATCCAATAGGAATAATAATCCTTGCATTTTATGTCTTCGAGATGTCTCAAAGCGCTTCACAGAATATACTGTAAAGTGAATTTACAATTTACAATTGCGTACAGCCTGTTGATACTCACTCTCTTGGCTATGTTGATACTCACTCTCTAGGCTATGTTGATACTCACTCTCTAGGCTATGTTGATACTCACTCTCTAGGCTATGTTGATACTCACTCTCTAGGCTATGTTGATACTCACTCTCTAGGCTATGTTGATGCTCACTCTCAAGGCTATGTTGATACTCACTCTCTAGGCTATGTTGATACTCACTCTCTAGGCTATGTTGATGCTCACTCTCTAGGCTATGTTGATGCTCACTCTCTAGGCTATGTTGATGCTCACTCTCTAGGCTATGTTGATGCTCACTCTCTAGGCTATGTTGATGCTCACTCTCTAGGCTCTGCATCCGTTGCTGAATGAGAATGCTGAATCATTTACTTCATGGCTATTTGTGAGATGATGCTATGCACAAAGTGGTTGCTGCGTTTGCCAAATACAAAATCACTACACTTAATCATGTCAACCTGCCCGCTCCCTCCACTCAGCAGGCTCCATCCTGCCTCAACATTGGCGGTTAGGCCTTCAGCCTCTCTGCCTTCACCCACTGGAACTCCATCCCACATTCCCTTTGCCTCACTCCCTCCCTTGCCTCCTTCAAGGCACGTCTCAAGACCCTCCTCTTCAACCTCGCCTTTGGCCACCCTCCTATCCCTAAACTCCCTGCCTTCCACCCTTCTTGATCTTAACCACCAGCTTGAGTCCAAATCCCTCACAATCCAGCGCCTTGGGACATCCTCCCGACGTGAAAGACGCTATACAAATGTAATCTGTTGTTAATTTGTTAACAGTAATTCCCTGAAAAATGCTTTGGGAAGTTACAGTGCAGTATGCCAAATGCAAGGATGTTTATTAGTATTTGCTTTCCAAGTTGGTACTAATGTCCACCTCACGAAATTAAGATAAAGCTCTAGAGTTACTGTTCGCCTCTGTTTCTGTTCCAGGTCCAGCTTTGCTATTTGCAAAGGTTAAACGCAAAGAAGAACAGGTCAGGAGGTTTTATGCCTGTGCAGCCTGCAGAGACAGAAAGGACTGCAATTTTTTCCAGTGGGAAGATGAAAAGGTAGCAAAGGACAATCTATTAACTGTACCTATGTTTTAGAACAGCATTTTTCTGATTAATGTAGAGGTTGTTTTTATTTTCATTAACGTATTGCTGATTTTATAAAAGAAAGTACAGTGGGAATGGTGGTGAATAGTGTATTTTGGAGGACTACCATGCCTCAAGAAATGTAGGATGTGAGTTGGTTCCTCTGGTTTCCCCACACAGTATCGTTAGCTTGGCTCAGTTAGTATCACTCTCACCTCTTGAAGTCAGGAGGTTGTGGGTTCAAAGCCTCATGCCAGGAAGCTGCAAGTAGCCCGATGGATAATTTTGTCCGGCTGTAAACCATTTTTTCCGACTTCACTGTTTTATCTACGCAAACTCCCTGCTTGTAGGCCGACACAAATCCTCCCTTCACAGGTTTCAGATCATGCAGATCTCTTCAGGCCGTGTCCTCTGCGGGACCCTAGCACCCCCATCCTCGCTGACTCCACTGGCTCCCCATCACTCAAGAGAATACAGTTCAAGATCCTGGTCCTCACCTTCAAAGCTGTTCAAGGCTTTGCTCTCCCCTACCTCTGTGACTTCCTAACCCCTCACCAACTTACCCTATCCTCCCGCCCTCCACCCCTCCTGATCCCAACCACCAGTTCGGGTGTGGATCCCTGACTGTCCAGCGCATTGGGACGTCCTCCTGACGTGAAAGGAGCTGTATACATTTATTTGTTGTTTATCTCCCCACTGCAGTCAGTCTCCATTAGGCAGGTCATTGAATGACAGGAAGAGATGCGGAGCAGGAAATATCCATCCCCGTCCCTCCCTGTCACATTACGCACTGCCTCGTGCTACCTGGTGAGACACAGTGAGCAGCAGCAGGAGTACTTTGCAATTCTAAATTTACACAACTATGAGTCTCAGTAGGACGCGAAGTAGATCTGGAAAATAGGGAATTTCAGTGCAAGTGGGAAATGAATTATTTGTTTATTGAAAGTAATGGAAAACCTCAGTGTACTGTTTGCTAGCAAGCCATATTGTGTTGAAGAAATTCAGAGTTCTCAATTATGGATTAATCTGTTTTTGTTTAGCATTCTCTGTAGGGGCCTCCATATGCGGAGTTGATATCTAGTGTTTTGACCTTAATACGTTTAAAACAATCATATTTTTCCATTTGAGCTGATCATCATTAAGTAATACAGTCACACAATTTAAAACATAGGATTTCTGTGTGATTCTTTTATGTTTCTGGAAGGGAAAAACAAAAATGTTACTTATGCGGTCTGCAGACATTTCTCAAATGTGCCCTCCGGCACTCCAGAGCAATGCTGGGGGAGTTCTGCAATGTTGGAGGTACTGTCCATCGAGTGAGACCTTAAACTAAGATCCTGTTTGCCTGTTCAGGATGCTAAAGTTCCTCTTGTCACTTTTCAAAAAGAGCTTCAATGGCTCTGGGAGCCATCGGGGTAGACCTTGGGCAGAAGATGCCGTGCCCCTTGGACTATCAGCCTTCAGGCCTAGGGACTGCCGTCATCTCTTACTTCTGGGCTCCCCCCGGTTCACGACCATATGTTGTACTGTTAGAAATAAAGGCAAAAGTGGCGTTCCCTGTGAGGGGCACGAATAGCCCCCACAGCAGATGGTGCTGTTACGCTGGACAAAACCCTCACCACCATTGGTTAGTAGGTCAACATCGCCATCTCTTGGATGAAAAACAGTGTTGCATCAAAAAGGGGGTTGGATTTTGGACTGAAGAAAGTCTTTGAGGGATGACTCAACGACAGTAAATTTAACGAGTTTGGATGACGAGGGAGTCAGCGTGTTTCAACTCTCTGCTGGCCACGGTAAGATGACACTGGAAATCAAATCCATTGTCTATTTCTGCAATCAATGTGCAAACAAAATATGCTCTGGCACTGTATAAATGTAGATTGTATTGTAAAAGGTATTGAGCTCTACATATGAATGTGAACAGAGAACAATTTCGGAGTCCTTAAAATTGTAATTACCAATAAATAAGAAACATTTGGGGAGGAGTCTGTTTGTGAATATGCATTCATATGTGTGTGTATGTGTGTGAGAGAGAGTATCTGTGTGTACAAGAGATTTGCCAGATTGTCTGGCCTTTTAATCTCAGCCACAAAGTATTTGGTCTCCCTCTATCTATTCTCCCCACCCCACCCCGCAATGCCTCCCACTGATGGTGCAGCTGAGATTAGCAGTTTTGCACATTGGAGATCAGGATATGAGCCAGGATTCTTTTGCACCATGGCAGGTGGGTTGCCTCATTACTGTGCTGTCCACGTCACTAGCCCGTCTGGAACCTTCATGCCAGCATCTGAAACGGCTCTGCCTCTCTTGGATTAGATGGGCAGAATGAAGCCTGTGTTCTGCCTAATCTATATTGTCAGTACAGCAGAGGTTAGAATGATCTAACAAGAGTTTCCGTGCTGGATTTCACTCAGTCAGTTGAAGTGACGAGGTGATTGTAGTGCGTTAATTCGATCTTTGTTCACTGACCCTCACAAACCCTCACAGCTTTTGAAGTTTAAAGTGTTTTCGAAGATGGCAGGTCCTTCACATAGGTTAATGATCACTAGCCTGAACATACTGCTTGTTCTTTTAAGTATGTCCTGCCGATGAATAATTGCCAGTCTGGTGTCTACATTCACACTTCACCTCCTTAACTTTTAGGTATCAGAGACCCGGCTACAAGCCAGAGAAGAAATTAACCGAAGTCGGCAACCACCGTTCACACACACCGAATATGTGGAGAGGTAATAAAGCTGTAACTTGAGCCAGATGTTTACAGGAGAGCAGATGCTTCACTGTTAGATTTAATAATAAAAAAGGCAAAAAAAAAAATCCTGTACCCTTGAGAGTGAAGGAGATCAGGAATTTAACTGGGTGTAAAGAAGAGAAAATTGAAGGTGGAACATTGGCATTGCAGGAAGCATCACTAGTTCGATGTGAATTTCTGAGAGTGGGTTCTCACAGAGCAGGTTGCCAATCTTGCCGATGATATTTAAAGGCTTTCGTAGTTGCTGTGTCCTGTTATCAGAGGCTTGCACACAATGTGGAATCTCTTTCCAGAAATCAATATTTGATGGGAGATGAAATATTAATGTGTATGGAGAAAATGACTAATCCTTGACTTTTGATATTGCGTCTTATCATGTTGTCAAAATATCTCGCAACATTTCACAGGATTGCCTATGGACGGTATTGACTGTATTTTTTAAGCGAATATGGCAGGTAGTTTTCCTCACAGCAATACCCCACCTGCAGACATGAACACACTGTGGTTTCTCTTCAGATCATATAAATCTTGACGTGAATGACAATTTTCATCTTGCAGATTGTTAACTAACAAAGATGCATAGTTTATTGTCAAACTGGAACAGATGGGGAGATGGTATTAAACGATCTGCTCTGAAGTGACAAAAAGGCACAAGATCAATGGATTGAATGACCTCTGCCAGTTAATATGTTCCTAAAGATGTGTGCTTCACATGAGCAGCCAGAAGAACATTCATAGGATCTATTGCGTGAGCACATGCAGTTGGAGAATAAAAGGTGTCTCCATCTTTGGGATCTTACATACTCCAATTGCATATATATAGCCCATAAAATAGAGTCAATACACTTAACAGTATATTCTGTCAATAGCTTTGAGACACCTTGAAGACGTGATGAGGTGGTAAATCAAATGCAAGGATTATTATTATATTTTTATATATATACAGTTGGTAGATATCTCCTCTCTAATAAAGTCAGATGATATTTGAGTCAGAAGTTCTATGTCTGGACTTCAAACTCAGTCTAAGCTGCCACATTAGGATAATGGCTAATAATAGTATAACAATGCAAGGGAATGCTGCATTGTAAAAGGTGCCGTCCTTCGCATAAGACATTAAACCATGGTCCCATCTGCCTATTCAGGTGGACGTTAGAGATCCATGGTTCAATTTGAAAAGAGAAGGGAGTTTCTAGTAAAGTAGCCATAGAGTACGTATATTTGTTATATTAGGGTTGAAAATGTGTCTATGAGGAAAATAAAGATGGAATAATGCTTCAACATCAAAAAAAGTTTGACTGGATGTTAAATTCGACTACAAGTCGGTGCCGCCACCTCCAATTGAGACTTGAGTGTTCTCTGCAGGAGTTGCACATTACGTCCAGGGGTGTGTTTTTCCACTCTTTTTATCAACAACATTTGAACCTTATTCCTTGAATAAGATTGGACTTTTTCTTTTTGAAATACCGTCACGCTGGTTAAGATTTTCCAAACGCTCGTCGTTTTTTTAAGAGTTGCCTTGAAATTGGTAAAAATATGAGGATGTCATTGTTGGAAAATGAAAGATTTATTTGGATGGTTACATTTTTTTTTAAAAAAGGTATCAGAGCTTCGTGGCTTTACCCCTGGCAAAGAGAAAGTTTTGTGCAGACTGTCAGCTCTTGCTGCTTCCTGAAGAATGGGGTCCACACAGCGCCCACTGCCTGCTCAGTGACGTCTCACTCGCTCAATTGAAAAGACCAAGCCGCCTCCTGCTTCCGCTCGAGAACAAAAAGACCAACGCTCAGTACCTGTTTGCTGACCGCACTTGCCAGTTCCTGTTAGATATAATTATTTCACTCGGATTTCGTAGAGTGCTCTGTGTCGGGACTCCACGGTATGTTCATCCATAAAATGTCGGTGTTAATGAAGCTTTTCTGACTTCCTACATCCCCAGAGTAATGCCTCGCTGCAGTGCACTGTACCCAGTCAATCTGCTGACTGATACCTGACCAGCTCTAAGCTTTGCATTTCATGAGCTATTAACCTAATTTGTACATTCAATTGAACTTCGCAGCTGCTAGGGATTCATTCTAGGGACATAAATCTAATGAAGTTCAGTAAAGACTTCTGTATTTTTGTTAAAGAGGCATTTTGTGTCTGTGTGAAAAAGCCCATCCCACTTACTCTAATGCAGTTACTGTTATGTAGGTTGAGTAGAGATGGGTAAATGCTCTCTGATGCTTATAATGCAGAAGCACTTTAATCGAAGCAGCCCAACAACACCCAAGACTATCGCAGAATTCACCCCGATTACACCACAGGGCATTTGCAGCAGTGGAGGCAACAGAAAACAAGTACACATGTGCCATTTCACGTACATGTAACGTAGAGAAGTTAGGAATCACTAGTTCATATTTTTAGCTATCAGCACTGCCTAATTTCCAAGGGCACAAAGGAGCACCTATTGAAAAAAACATATTGCTGACCTACATGCACAGGCTGAGGGCCAAAGGCAAAATGAGGGCCAACAATTGCTTTTGAATTGCTTCCTCTGATGCCAAGTAATAATAATAATAATAATACTTGCATTTGATTGCAATTTATCACATTGAAATAATAATAATCCTTGTAATTCTCACCCCTGAGTCAGGAGGTTGTGAGTGTAAGACTCAGGTCTTGCAACCCATGTAGTCTGCTGACATTTGAATGCAGAGCTGGTTGTGTGCTATATTGTCGGAGGTTACATACTTTGGATGAGACGTTAAACAAAGGTTCCATCTGTCCATCTTTCGAAAAGAGAAGGGAGTTTATCTCGTTGTTCTGGCCAGCAATTCTTCCCAATTAAAATTGGTCCCTCACTCCATGGCTGTTTGTGGGATATTGTTATGCACAAATTGGTTCCTTCTACATTTGCCCACAAAATAAACATAGTTTTATCACTTGACAGTATATTCTATGAAGCCCTTTGAGAGGTCTCAATAGTGTGACATAACACTATATCAAATAAAGGGATTATTATAAATGTTCACTGATAGAATGTAGTAAAATATTGGATGTACTGTATGTTGCAAAATTAACAAGAGTGTTTTGAATGAACTTTCAGACTTCATGAGTTTATCCAAATGAGACAGTCTGAAAAGAAGGAACCAGTTATGAGGAGTCAATTGCTGGATATTGATTTCAGGTAAAGTAATTTTTACTTGTGAATGTTTGAGTTAATTATTAAGTATAATCAAGATCAGGATTGTCTAAGCTTGGGAAAAAAAGAGGTGACCTCTTTGTCACCCAAGGGTATGCTTTGAAAATTGGGCAACTATGTTTTGTTATATAAGTGGGTTGTTCTGTAAATTATAATCCTTATCTGTTTTGCATAAAATCAAAACCGATTTACCTGGCATATGTATGAATACAAACATTTCAGCCGTTATTGTTTATCTCAACAAATAGTAAACAATCAGGAAGTTATATCTTTATATGTATATAGATACACAGCATCTATAGTCTGAATGTTCAAACTGATATTTAATGATGCTCAGCATATGAAGGAAGCCATATGAATGGTGCAGAAACAAAAACAGAAAATGTTAGAAATCCAAAGCATATTACTGTATTAGGCTATGAGGGTGATGATTTATTTTTGCTTCAGAGACTGACTCCAGCTACAGGCTGACCCTGTTGTGATCTCAGACTCGTGTTGCAACAGGCACAATTAAATATAGCAGCTGCTTAGTGTTTCCTTATTTTCAGGACACTGCTGTAACCACTTGTTGTGTACTGCACATGTGTGCTATGTGCAGGAAGCTGGTTCGTCAGTGCTCAGAGACAGAAGTGCAATATCGTATGGCTTTTCTGTATTTTGAAGTAATAATACAGATTGATGTTACTGGTCTGAGAGAGCAATGTTTACATGGCTTTAGAATGCCCCTTGTCTTGCAATGTATACAAGTGTTTTACCAGGCGGAGAGCTTTCTTTATGGATTGTAAAAGTGGGCCATCTTAGAGTTAAATACATTAACGTTTTTGTACCTACAACAACAAATTACAGTTATACTGCCTTTCACATCGGGAGAACATCCTGAGGTGCTGGACAGTGAAGGAGTTTCACCTGAGCTGGGGGTTGGATTCAAGAGAGGTGGGAGCCAACATTAAATGTAAAACAGCCCTCAGAATCCCCCTCTGTCATCTTTATACTTATCATTTTGGTGAAAAATCATTTCTTAAATTAGAGGCTATTCAATTACAACTATAAATCAAACCTAATGCACTACTCAGTAACTTGTACTTAAGTGTGCTCCGAAGGTTTTATTGGGAAAAAATACTGACTGAAGTACTGTATGGCTACTGTGTGGGTACCTGTTAGAATGTTAAAATCGAGTTTCATTGTTATTGCATTGACATTTCAATATTTCCCAGGTTGGTGAAGCTCTATTTTAAGTTGGGATATGGTCCTCGTCAATTCTCAATAGATAAGCATTAGTACATTTAATAGAAACTGATCTGCCCTCTGAATAGGACTGAAGCATTAATTGATCTACATGATCAATCACTGTTTTACATGCATTAAGCCAAACTCATGACTTATCTTTTTGACTGAGCTTTTGCTCCTCTTTCCCCTCCCCACACTCTTTAGCTCCCAACCCCCAGCCTGGGTCCCCAGACAACAGCATAAAGTGCTTTGAGATGTCCTCCCTACATGAAAGTCTACATAAATGCATAGTGTATATCAATGCTTATAGAAACTGTCCAGCTCCGAAAATACATTCATGGAGCGTTTTTAAAGCATTCCAGACTTAATATATCCATTTCATTTAAATTAATATTTTCCTCCATTTATTGTTCCCCATCCTGTGGGAGGAACTATAGGAAATCATAAGACGTTTACCACACAGACCATTTGGCCTTTTGTGCCGTGCTGGTGCAGCTCTCCCTTTGTGGCCATCTGTTCTCATCCTCTTTATTTCCTTGTGTATTTATCCATTTCCCTTTTAAATGTTGTCGTGCACTCAGAGTCAATAACTATTTGAGTGAGTTTACCATTCCACAGCTGCAACAACTTGAACTCATATGGCACTTTTCACATAGGATAATGTCTCGTAGTGCTTTATAAACGATTCTGATTTCTAACAGCCCTCTGTATAATCTAACATTGCCTTGCTGGATGGCCCAGGAAAACTGGCGAACCTGTCTCTTTGTGGGGGAACAAATCTGTTCCCAATGGGGCATAGAATAACTCATGAGAATGTCCAGTAGCGCTGTTTTCTAAGTATCCAGTTTGCATATTTATTAGCTTTGAATGAGCAGCACTGGGACGTAATGGAAAGAGACGAAAGGCTGGATAGATTGGCTCAGTAAAATGGTGATGCATTCTGTTGAAAAGACTTGATGTGATGTTGGAAAATTCCTGTGTCAGATTCATGTGATCAGCATTGTAGAACATGACAAGCCCCGTCTCGTAGTCAACGCACAGCCCAACCCTTTCTACCTGTGAGGATTTCATTTTGCAGTTAATATTGCTATCGTTGTGCCAGGCTAAGAGATGGTTATACTTGAATTCAGTGCACCATGACTGCCTGTTTCTCCCAAGTTTTGTGGATTTGTGGTTCCCTTTCCACTCTATAGACTCAAATGCAATTCCAATAGCCCACTGTGTAGAAGCTTTTACATCATCCTCCCAGTCATGCTTTCCTCTCATCAAAGCTTTGTCGCAGAGGATTCTTGGGAACGTTAGTTAATTCATTTGTTGCAACATGCTGGTTTGATCCTTGGAAATTAGCACGTTTTTGTGTGCTGATGCCACAGTGAGGGAGACCAATGAGTGTTCTAAGAGAGAAAAACATAAAAAACTTATCACACTCGTAAAGAATGGAAAGATTGATACGTTGTTGAATGTCTTCTATTTTGCACGACATTGCAATTCACAGTGAGAGGGTGTAACATCACGTTCAGGAGAGGTACAGATGGAAATATAGCTTTCACAGTATCTGATACAACACAGTTGAGCTATGGTAGTATTTAGTACTGACTTTGTAAGGTACATTAACTCAACAACAGCTACTTACCTAATGTCTTTTATTTAAAAGAATGTCTCAAAGAACTTAACAAAGTGAGAACTGAAATGAATGTTCAGTAGGCAAACGCGGCAGACAATCTGTGCTTACAACACACCCAGACAACAAGATTGATGAGCAGCAAATTAATGATTTTAGAGGTGAATTTTTACCATGTGTTCTGTTTCTAGATATCTGTTATTAATAGATAAACCACATAAACTCCTTCAGAGTAACATAATATAAGATTCCAGCTAGGAGCAGATGTATTGGTTCATCTAGCCTTTCCATTTAATTTTCCACAAGATTTCCTCTAAAACTAATAACCTGAATTGTTTTTAAGTTGCCAGAAACTTGTCTATTTTCTTTGAGAAGCCCTTTTGTTTCTCTTTCCACCACCATCAACTGAATGGTGTTGCATCTCAGGTTAAAAATACATCTGATGGCTCCGTATACTGTACGTTGATACACATTGCTGTTCCACATGGATCTTTTACTAAAGAGAAAGCCTCCTAATTTTCCTGCTCCAAATTATTATTAAAAAAACTCTTTTAAATGATGTCCCTTTGAATAGCTCACAAAGATGGAATTATAAAGAGGATCACCTCTTACATCCAGTAGTAGCATACCATAAATATAAAATGAAACTTAACTACATCTAGAGCTGGCTAAATTGCTTCCCAACAGTACTAATGGTTTGTAGACCGCATGAGCTGTGCTTTTCTTGCAGTAGATGTGATTGTGCAATTTCAATCATTCAGGGACTGTAGATAAATGTTCTATGAACAGTTAAGAAATAGTGCACTCACTTAATAGGAATATCTTCCTTTGCAGTTGTGATTGAAGATTGGTTGAAATGTTCCATAAAGCTTTGATAACTTCTGAAATCTAGCTTCATCCATTTTAATGGCCTGGATCTTATTCTCAGTTTTCTTTAAATAACTTGGAAGAAAAAGAAAATAGAAACAGTGGTTGATGTTAAAGCGAAGCTGTAAATTAATCTGTTAAAGTGAAGCTGTAAATTAATTAAAAATAGCTTTTTTAAAATGCGACTGGCCACAATTTTTCATAGGTTTAAAGATTTTGTTTTTAAAAAATCATGTGCACTTATATACCTGAAGTACTTTTATTACATTTTTTTCTGTCAATTTTCTCTGTAGTTTATTTCCTTTTCTCTTGTGGGTGACGCCCTTTTTCTTCTACTAAAGTGCAACTCCATCATAGCCTGGTGTCGGCTTTCTTGCCCAAGTGGCCATTATTGACATGTGATCCCTAACATTTAGTGTAAGCAGGTTTGTAAGGGGCAACGTAACCTGATCCTGACTTCACACATACACCGTCTAACAGTTGTCTTATTTTTGAATCATTGATTCTGACCATGATCCCAATGTATCTGAGCTTCAATTAATTAATAGAATAGTCAAGTGCCAATGCAATTAATTGTAACAATATTTTTGACATTCATAATTCAAATTAAATGAATAAAGAGCCTATTTATACTTCAGTGAGCAATGTCTAATACTTAGACGAATGAACAGACCTACCCATATTTGGTAAATTTGATATCCTATAATATGTAAACAAAAAGTTATTAGTAGAAATATTATAAAATGGATTTTGATAATTAATATTCTGTTGTCAATGTCTGTAATCATGTGGCCATAAGCTGTCATCTCCTACTTACCCTAAGGACAACAGCAGTAACACAAAATGTAATATGTTTACGTTGTAAAGGAAATGTTAATAAAATGTTCAGTGGTAAGTTTAAAGAGGTAATTCAATCTCGGGTCCCAGACACATTTTGTAGGCTTCACTTTAGCTGTGTAAGTATAGGACAGTGGCTGAACAACTTGGAAAACTTATTTGTTACCTTGTAACTCAGGCCCATCTGTCTGCTAGTCGATGCAAAAAAAAGTACTAGTGTAGGGAGAAAGATTGATTTTATTTTGCCAGGTGAATCCTTATATTATCAGTAGATTATTTTTATTAAAAAGAAGTACTAGCTAGGAGAATGGGTTGAAGGATTTATAGCATCCAACTGCTGTGATGAATGGGCTATTGTTTTTATTTGCCTGAGCAGTAAAATAAGTAAAACACATTTTCACACATCTTTGAAAAAAATCAGTGCTGCAGTGATGTGCTATGTGGAGCGAGGTTTTACTTATTCCTGGCTCTGTTTAAGCATTGTTAGCTTGGCTCTTTTGGCACTGTGGGGCAACTCGCTTCTCTCCGAATGGTGCCAAAGGATCTTTAATACCCAGCAAACAGACAGATGGGATCTCAGTTTATCAGCTCATATGAAGGATGGCATCCCAACAATGTACGACTCTCCTAGCACTGCATTAGAGTAACACTGTCAGTTCAAAGTACCGATGTAGGGCTTAAACCTGTTGTATTGTCCTGTACTGTACCCCTGTGACCTCCTTCAACCACACCGACTCAGCTTTTACCTTCGCTCAGCTACCTTCGCTCAAGAGAGCACTGGCCTGTTTCAGGTCTCCTGCTCTATCTGCCTCACGATTGGCTTTGAGAAATTCTTCTTCGCTCTCTGGACCTCCAACCGCCTCTGCCTCCCTCCCCTCATTCAAGGCAAATCGCAAAATGTGCTTTTGACTGCGCTTTCGGGCATCTTTCCCCCTTCCTAACCCCCTCTCACCTCGCTTTTGCTTCTGAGTCAGACTCGCATCTCCTCGGCTGATGTTCCAGTGCAGTGCAGGAAGTGCGCAGCATTGTCGAAGTGCAGATTGTGAATGCAGTTGGGATGTGCCATTATCCTGCTGCATCTTGGCTGCGTCCTGCTTGTAGACACTGCAGTCTAGTTCAGCCGTAACCTCTGAACGTTCAACATGTCTCTGAGGTGCACGGGCAGAAGAAACAAACCATGTATTTTCTGCCATTGGTAACAAGAGAAACACTAATAGCGGGCAGGTCTTTTGAAAAGAGGTGTCATGAAAAATTTTAAACGCAGCCTGACTACTATTTAAGGTCTGATCTTTCATTAGACCCTGTTGCTTTGTTTTGCGGCTGCTATTTGTTGAATAAATCCGTGCAGGACAATGTTAAAATATTTAAAAGCATGTGTTTGAATATTTTTCTGTGGAAAACATTGCCCTTTGGTCCATCAAGGATGGAGTGATCCAAATAATCCTATCTGAAGGGTTTGGCAATGAAGTTTTATGTTTTCCTATGTGCATAGCAAAGTGAAATGAATGTTGTAAAGGAGGAAGCAGATTACTTTTCTCTTTCACTCCATTCTGAATGACTTTTCCTATTTACTGTGGCTGTATTATAGTTGGTGGGTTTGGGTTCTTTTGGGAGTTAAAAAAGACCACGATTTTTAGTGATCTGTGTTAAATAGACTCAAATGTTAGAGCACGGGAAGAAGGAGCTTTACTTTGTATCGGCCTCTGTAGTGAACCTAACTCTGTCCTGAACCTGAGAGATAGGAACTCTGTTCTTTCACCGAGTTGAAGATGTTCCATATTCTATCACCACAAATAAGCACTCAACTTCCAAAGATATTTTTCCTGCCCATCATATATTCTACTGTTCTGACTCAAGTATACTGCTCATTTCTCATTTCTGTCATCCAATATTACTTCTCTCTCTAGGACTATCTCCCCAAATCCTGTTTTTCCACCTGTCTTTTATCTTATTGTGATGTGAAAACGGCGATTTTTTTTTCTCTCTCCATCTAAATTAAGTTTAAATATTAATTTTGACACATTTGTAGACTAACCATGAACGCGAGGGCTGTGAGATACCTCCAAAAATTCCATTTGTGCACGTGAAAATTGTGAAATTATACACAAAGTTCCTGGGGACATGATTTCCCCCATGTGGGTTAGTCGCTAAGATGCAATTTCCCAACCTCTCTTGGTCACGTGCACAAACTTGATTTTATGTGCCAATAGCACAAGGTAAATTTTTATTAACTGTTGTGAGTTAGAAGTTAGATCATGAGTGAGAGTGGGAAAGAGAGTCGTACAGAGGCAGAAAGGAATATAAAGTTATAGACTGAGGGGAGGGGAGAGAGAGACAAAGCGTTGTACAGAGAGACTTGGCAGGAGGGGAGAGAGAGATTTGGAGAGGAGAGCTGGAACAATGTGATATCATGGATTTGTCAGTGTTTAAAATGTGGAAAACAGTTTATCACTGTTATTAGAGTAATTCTAATGTACTGTGATGTTCTAAAATTATGTGAAATGTAATGTTTTTGACTGGTCTAATCACTGTACTACACTTTTTCAAAACTCAGATATAACTATGAAAATGAGGGTGGGGTGTCTCCTTACATTCAGGACAATATCGATTTGACCTAGATGTTGGTCAACCACCTCAAACATCCTTTGCTTTCTACCCTTAGTGATTCCAATTGGTGTTAGATGTTGAAAGGCACTAAATCACAAGATCACTAAATTGGTTTGGATGAAGAAAGTCCTTTGGCCCATCTGATCTCATTCCCTCCACACGACACACCCTACCTTTCTCCCATCACAGCATTATGTCCTGGCCTCCACCACTCTTCCTGGAAACCTGTTCCAGTTGTTAATTACCCTTGGGTTAAAGAGAAACTTCCTAGTATCTGTCCTGAAATTGCCCTTTGCAATTCTAAACCTATGTTGTCTTATTCACTACCTTGTTGCATCCAAAAGGATCTATGTAGGTTTACAAGTTTTATACATGGCTCTAAGCTCCCATTTGAGCTATCTTCTCTCAAGATTGAAGAGCCCTAACTTGTCTAATCATGGCTCATTCCTCTTACATTGAGGATCATCCTCGTTCATCTCCTCTGCATTCTCTTTAGGGCCAGGGTAGCCCTCTTATGTCACCATGATTAGAACTGTATGCAATACTCTAGATGCAGCTGGACCAGCGCACTTTACAGCTTGAGTATGACATTATAAGTGCAAGTTACTGTTAAGTTGAAGATGCTCCATATCTCATCGCTGTGATGAACAGGAATGTTCATCCTCCCAAAACTAAACATTCCTTTTTAATAGCTGCTAAAGCTTTATTTTTTGATCCTTCACCCAATGTATCTGATTTTGTGACAGCACTTAGGATAATAAAATAAACTTTTAACTTGCTTTTCTTCGTTTCTCATAGGTACTCCCAGTTTTATTCACAGGAGGAATTCTGTCACTATAACATGTTTAATCATTATTTCTTTGGGGGAAAGGTAAGACCAGCCATACACAATGTCAGAATGCATTTTTATTGCATTATATAATGTTTCTCCCACAGCATAAACTTGACACATTCCTTCACTGCAACAAAATGCAATTTCAGTTATACAACCCTGTCATTACCAAAAACAGGCAGTAAGTATTGTGGAAATCAGCAGAATTAATAAAGGAACTTAAAGTAGAATGGAGAAGAGATCATACTGGTACCTGTGAAATCCAGAACGATTTGCTATCGTCTCACAACTTAGATCAGGAAGGGAGGAGATCACAAGCATGACAGTTCTCAATCAGCTGCATTGCTGCCATTCCAGGCAGAACGATGAGCCTTGCCAACAAATATTACAGGGGCTCTTTCACCTTTTCATCATAAGAACAAAGGGAGGGATGCGGGGAGAAATCTGCCTAGAGTAGGGGTAATAATGGTTGAGGGCTCCGCTCCGCTCCTCTGGGGGGACAGAGAATGGGGAATGAGCAGTTGGCCATTAAGACTATTTCAATGTTAGATTATGGCAGATTTTAATCCCATTTTTCCATATCCCCAAAAATGTGTCCATGTAGCATTAAATAGCACCAATTTAATGTGCAGCTGACAAAACAAGTCTAAAATCCACCTGAATCCCTTTAGATACAAATTGCTGAGCAGAGTCTGTTTACTTTTGCACTTTCTTGATATTTACGTAAATTTACCAGGGATTCTCGAATAGTAATACATTTGATATAGCGTCTTTCGCTTCGGAAGTAGGTCTCAAAGCGCTTTGCCGGATTCACTGTAAATGTAGTAACTAGTTTTTTGGGGAATATCAATCAAGAAGAATTTTGGCAAGATTTTTTGCCTGTCTTATTCTGAGCCCTTTCTCTACTCCCTCTTCTTCCCTTTCACCCAAACCCTGATGAGCCTACCTAACGTAGAACAGGAATCAGATCTGAGACCTTTCTGGTCTTTCCAGCACTTCACTATACATGCCACACGTTTCATTCCCAGACCCAGCTGTCAAAAGCATTAATTAGTTCTGCTGGGATCCTGTCCAACATAGCTTTTAATGGGAGGCAGAGAGAGAAATTTATTTTTAATCTCTGGATCTACTGAGCAGTAGCATTCCTGATAAAATATCCAAGAGCTGCTGAAAGTCTCAATTGAAGAGAATCAATAAATAATGCACCGATAATGGAGCATCTTCATTGCTGTGTGCAAATTGGCTGCTGCGTTTGCCTACAAAAATACAAAGGGCTGCACTTTACAGTAAAATCCATGAAGCACTTTGAGACAGCATCCTGGGGTGAAAGGGGCTAGATCAATTATAAGTAGTAGTATTATTTAGTTGATGGGGATTTGACTCTCAAAATGTTAGTTTGTGCTCTGTTCCCGATCCTCCTCCTTCATTGATTTTTTTTAATATGGACTTTATAATCTATTTTGATTATTTTCAATTTCAAAGAAATAATCAATTATTTATCATGTTTTTAAAATATGATTTCAACATTATTTATCTGTAGCATTGTTCAATGTATTGATTTAATTTTTCAGAAAAAAATACCTTATAGTTCTTTGCTGTAAATGGTCACTTGAAAGCCAGCTAAACTGCCTATGGCAGCAAGATGCACAAGATATTTCATGAGCAATGTGGTTATTTGACTCTTGGCTTAAAAGTGAAAGAAACAAAAGGGCACATACTGCAGAAGAAAATTAAAGTCTGTGTTGGTTACCTCATCGGTACCTGTTAACGTTCTATCTTATGGTTTATCTTTTGCTATCAAAGCTGCCAACATTCATTACATTTGGCGTGGAATCCAATTTAAGATCTTGTTTGTGCCACTTTCTCCTTGTCTTTTCTCATTTTCAAAGGTTTACAGTTCTCTTATTTCTTCAGTTCTGTCAATCTCAAGAGTCCCCTTCTCAGACCTGTCACACCGTTCTGTTATCTTGCCATTTATATTCGAATAAATTATGCACAAAAACGTACCACCTGTTATACTTGTCACCTTCAAGAGTTTCCTGCACTCACAGATCTTGGTACTTTATACCCAAATGCTTATTCTTAATATGTAAACTTGATGTTGAATGTCTGCAGGATATTTCTAGATTTCTTCCCCAGTATCTATCTCACTACTTTTTTAAACATCTCAATTGGTTCTGCAGATGCAGCTTTCTGAGGCAATGCATTCCACTCTCACAAATGTGTGAGGAAATGTTTTCAATTCTCAACTCTTTAATAGACTTGGTCCTTAGTTTGACAGTTTCCTCTCGTTTGGATCCTTCTATGCAATGATTCATTCCCCATTTACTTTGCCAATACTTTAATTTTTGAAACTGTGAGTGTGAAGCCAGCACTGATTTTATTTACTTTTTTTAATAGTTTGCCTCTGAAGCTTGTCAAAGATTCTTGTGCCAACCTAATGGAGAGTCTGTTATAATGGTGACTGACCCACCTTTTGGAGGTATGGTGGAGGCTTTAGCTCACAGCTTCAAAAAGGTGGTCCGCCTGTGGAAAACTTCATGTGATCAAGGTACAGTGTTTGTGTGTGACATGTGGAGAAAAGATTTATGAACCAATTGTTTTTATACTTTGTTCTGGAGAAGATGATAGCGACCATTCTACCTACAAATATTGCCAGTGATATTTTCCTCCCTCTCACTGGGACATTCACGGTTTTTGTTATCTCTTGACTTTTTTTAAGACCCTGTCTCTGGCAGTTATTTTTTCAGTTTTATGTCATCAGTTCTCTTTTCATGATCAACTTATGATTTTCCTAGTTTGGGGTTGAATGGGTGGGGGGGGGAATAGAAAGAACAGGTATGCATGTGTCTCTCTGACTCAAAGGTGAAATGACTGGGAAAAGGGGAGCAGGGCTGAATCAGCTCTCTATAGTGGGCTCTACTCTAGGCAAGTCTGCATTACAGTGAACAAATGCAGTGTCAACCTCCCTCTCATTGCAACTTCTTCTTGGATTGGATTTATTTAGCCTTTCTTGCAGCTGTGTTGCCACTGCCTTTATGTTAAAACTAAAGGCAAAATAAAGCCTACAGTGATTTTTCTTCCCCGCAGGTGATAGAGAGCTTTGGCCCAGGTGCCCATTGCACATTACCTCATGGCAGTGAGATGGAACAAGCTGCTTGACTGAGGGATCGTTAGTATCACATTTGATCCCTTCACCAACTGGTGCATGGGTGTTTTGACAAGTCACTACACAACAATTTAGGGAACAAGGAGGTCTTTTTCCTGTTTCTCGAGACACTGAGGACAGTTGTGACAGGAGCAGATAGTCTGGGTCATTTTTAACACTGTGTGACACATGACTTTATTTAAAATTCATTTAAAAAAAGGTTTCAAAACTGGTGATCACTCATAAATTGTTCACACTTGCACAGCGTAATAACCTGCAGGTAAATGAGAACAGTGATAAGTATCAACAAAGTTACTCTGAATTCTTCCTGGAACTAAATGATTACCTGCACTACCTTTCTCTGGGCAAGTAGTAGGCAAATTTCCTTACTCCACATGGCTGATAATAATAAAAAGTGCTATGTCAAATGCAAGGATTATTATTATTAAGAGAATGCCATCAATAGGGAGCCAGGCTAACAGCACAAATGTGGGCATGCCACGATAGATTTCCTGGAGTTTTGTTTTACAGTCCGTGGGAAAGGATGGCAGGGAAAAAAAGTTGCAAAACTTTCCCTCCTTTGATGAACTAATTGGGCAATGACCCTGATATTATTTGATCTGTGTGAGGACCAGGTTTAATGTTGTTAACATTGTTGTTCTAAAAGTACATCTTTCATTCATGCTTTTTTTTGTCCTGTTCCCCCACCCCTCCCCATCAGCTCACAATGAAGAACTGCCCATGTTCTGGATATTTCCATACTTCTTTGAACCCCGCATTCTACAGTGTTTCCCAACATTCGCTCTGCTGGATTATCAGGTGAGGGGAATTGTGTCTTTGTGTCAAACTCTTTGCAAAGAGCCTGTTTTGCTGATTGTTTCAATCTGGAGATGAGCGAGATGGGATCAATGATCCATTGTCTCCTGAAATGGTTGCTATTTTCCTATAATCAGCTCTTGATTTAAACCCTGTGAGAATTTGCCTCAGTCGGTCATACAGAATCCAACTTGACTGAATCTGTTCCAAATTGTCACTGAGCTGGAATGAGTGGATGGAGACATCCAGTTGCAAATATATAGTCTGAAGATAGCCAAGTAGTGTATTAGCCGAGATGGAATTCTTTGAGCTTTAAAAGAGCGGAGTGTTAAAAGGATCAGGGAGCGAGCCAAAGAGTGGCCTTAGATTTCAGCGGCTCACAAAGAGAAAAATGCTGGCTTGATGACTTAATGGTCAGAATGGGCTGTTTCGTTGCTCTAACATTCTGTGATTCTAGGTCTAAACACATCTGTAACTTTTTAAGAACAGCAAATGGGATGTTGGCAAGCCACTGACAACCAAGCTAGATTTTCCAAAAGAATAGGGCAACATTTCCTGGAGATTAATAATAATAATAATCCTTGCATTTGATATAGCGCTTTTCACGTCTTCTAGACGTCCCAAAGCGCTTCACAGAATAATAATAATAATAATAATCCTTGCATTTGATATAGCGCTTTTCACGTCGGGAGGACATCCCAAAGCGCTTCACAAAACACACTGTAAAGTGAATTGACTGTATATTTGTGGGCGAACGTGGCAGCCAATTGCGATTAGTTATCTTCAGGAAATTATCTTTCACCCACAGAAAGCTACTTTCGCCCACAAGTATACAATTAATTCACTTTACAGTATAGTCTGTGAATTAAAGTGCTTCACACTTTTTTCAAAAAAGGCTTTCAATTTTTGGATTTGCTTGCTATATTTTACAGATCATTGGACCAAGTAGAGTTTTATGTTTTAAATTGTTGTTTCCATAAGGCTTTTTCACTCAGTGCCTCATGAAGCAGCTGGAAGCTATGAAAGTAGGTGATTAAATCTAAAATTTTATTCAGAATGCATACTCCACTTCCAAGGTCTTTGTGGGGATTGATAGCAGACTCACTAAGCCTATCCCTCTCAAAAGAGGGATAAGACAAGGATGTCCACCCCATTCAGTGTGTTCATCATGATGTAAACAACCCAAAGGCACTGTTCTTCACCATCATCCTTCTCCTCTACGTCCCCTTCCGCACCCCCCAGACAGTCTACAGTAACCCCTCCTTCCACCACGGCCGCTACTGCTCCCCCTTCCCTTCACTCTTTCGCCCCGATTACGCCCCCATCCCTCTCAATCACCATGTCCCAGAATGAAGCCCACCACTTGCTGCCTCGATCTCCTCCCTCTCCTCTCCCTCCTGCTGGCTGACACAATGGACCTCTCTTCAGATTCTGTTCCTCTCCCCCTTAAAACCACTGTCATCACTCCCCTGCTCAAAAAACCCACGTTTGACCCCTCCAATCTCACAAATTATCGTCCCATCTCCAACCTGCCCTCCTTGCCAAGCTCTGGAATGTATTGTCGTTAACCAGCTTTGCTCTCACCTCTCCCTCCACTCCCTCCTCGAGCCCCTCCAGTCTGGTTTCCGCCCTGCCCACAGCACAGAGATGGTGCTTGTCAAGGTCATAAACGACGCCCTCGCTATCTGTGAACAGGGCTCCATCTGCCTTTGTCCTCCTGGATCTCTCCACTGCTTTCGACACATTCGACCACACCATCCTCATCCACCAGCTCTCCTCCCTCATACATCTCAGTGGGACCGTACTATCCTAATTCGAGTCCTACCTAACAAACCGCCTTCTTTATCTCCTCAAATGGTTTCTCTTCCCACCCGATTACCTGTCGTGTACCCCAGGGCTCCATCCACTTTCTCATCTATATGCTCTCTCCCTCCATATCCACTCTGCCACCCACTTCCACAGTCACCCCCTCAACCTGGTGATCACTAGGGGCCTCACCATCATCGACAAAGCGATCTCGGACCATCACTTCATCTCCCTTAACTCCTCAATCCTTCTCCCCACCACTTCCCAATCCACCTCCATCTCATACTGCCCCTGGAAAAATCTCTCCCCCCACCCCCCACCCTCCACCTCTCGGCTGCCTTGGAGTCATCTGAACTCATTCCCCTCTGGGCTTCCTCCTGCAATGACCTATCCTCCTCCATCACCCTTCTCCACAGCTCCCTCTCCTCTACTCTCGATTCCCTCGCTCCCCTCTCTTCCCGAACTGTCTCCTACTCATGCAAATCACCTTGATACACCAGCCATCTCCGTTCCCTTAAAGCCCAGGTGCGTTCCGCTGAGCGTACCTGGCTTAAATCAAATCTAATTGTCCACCAGCAGATTTAGCTGGACCATGTCAAACCCTACCGCTCCACCCTTGCCTCTGCTAAATCATTGTTCTACTCGAAGACAATCTTGGAGGCTAAGGTCAACTCCAGGCTCCTCTTCTCCATCACCAACCGACTCCTCCGCCCGCCCTCTCACGCCTCACCCATCCTCACCTCAAATGCTAACTGCGAGGCGATGCTGGACTTCCTCGAATCCAAAGTCGAGGGAATCCGCTCAGCTGCCTCTGCTACTGCAACCCCTAGCCCCTCCCCATTTCCTCCTCCCATCCCAGCCCCTACCACCCCTCCCTCCACACCCTTGAACCCATCTCTCCCTCGTCTCTCATCACCACCATAACCCGTATGAAACCCACCACCTGCTCCCTCAACCCCATCCCTACCCCCCTCCTTACTACGCAGCTCCACCTCCTCGCCCCTCTGCTCACTAACATCATTAACCTCTCCCTGTCCTCTGGTACTGTTCCCAAACGCTGTCATCATTCCTATCCTTAAAAACCCTTCCTGGATCCTTCTCTACTCCCAAACTACTGTCCCATCTCCAACCTCTCTTCTCCAAGGTCCTGGAACGAGTTGTTACTTCTCAGCTTCGCTCCTTCCTTTCCCGCCACTCCCTTCTCGAACCCTCCAATTAGGCTTCCGTGGAGTCCACAGCACAGAAACAGCTCTGGTCAAAGTGACAAATTACATTCTGTCCATCAGCAACCAGGGCTCCCTCTGCCTCCTCGTCCTCCTTGACCTCTCTGCTGCTTTCAACACCGTCGACCACTCTATCCTCATCCACTGCCTCTCATCTCAACCTCCACAGCGCTGTCCTTGATTGGTTCAGATCGTACCTCTCATACAGCCTGCACTTCATCTCCTCAAACGGCTTCTCCTCTCGCCCCCGGACTGTCTCGTGCAGCATTCCTCAGGGCTCTGTCCTTGGTCCCCTCCTCTTCAACATCTATATGCTCCCTCTTGGTGACATCATCCGCAGACATGGGGTCAACTTCCACATGTATGCGGATGACACTCAACTCTACCTCTCTGCCTCCACCCTTGACTCCAGGACCACTGCTGTGCTGTCAGAATGTCTGTCAGACATCAAGTCCTGGATGAGAGCTAATTTTCTTCCGTTGAACGTCAACAAGACCGAGGGTCTCCTGATTGGCTCCTGTCAGCACCTTCACACCTCAGGTGCTGACAGCATCCCCATCCATGGTCGCACACTCCACCTTCCTAAGCCACTCCGGAACCTTGGGTCTCATTTGACCCTCAACTATCCTTTCTACCCCACATCTGCGCCATGACCCGCTCTGCCTTCCCCCACCTCCGACACTGTCTCACACCGCAGCCCACCAAAATCCTCATACATGCCTTCATTACATTGAGGCTCGACTATGCAAACTCCTTGCTCGTCAGCCTCCCCAACTCCTCCCTCCACAGGCTGCAGATCATCCAGAACTCTGCAGCCTGTGTTCTCTCCACCAGGCTCCGCGACCCAATCACCCCCATCCTTGCCCAACTCCACTAACTCCCCACCAGAGGATACAGTTCAAGATTCTGGTCCTCACCTTCAAAACCCTCCATGGTCTTGCTCTCTACTACCTCTTTGACCTCCTAACCCCCTACCACCCTGTTCGCTCACTCTGCTCAGTGGGCTCTGGCCTGCTTCATGTCCCCCGCCTTGCTCGCCCCACTATCGGTGGGCAGGCCTTCCGCCACTCTGCCCCAACCCTCTGGAACTCCATCCCGCAGTCCCTCCATCTCGCCGCCTCCCTCGCCACCTTCAAGACCCACCTGATGACCCTCCTCTTTGACCATGCTTTCAATCTCCCTGCTTCCCCCCTTGCCCTCTCTCCTCCTCCACCCCGACACTCAGCTCAGGCCGTAACTCTGTCTGTCCAGCGTCTTGGGATGTCCTCCCGACGTGAAAGGCACTTTACAAATGTAATTTTGTTGTTGTTGTTGCTGCTCCCTCTGGGCAATGTCATCTGCAGACACGAGGTAAGCTTCTACATGTATGCAGATGACACACAAATCTACTACTCCATGCTTTCGTCACCTCCCGCCTCGACTATTCAAATGCTCTCCTCCCCGGTCTTCCCAGCTCCACCATGCACAGCATCCAGCTGATCCGCCACTTGCATACTCACCGTAACCTCATCACACCAGTCCTAGCCAGGCTGCACTGGCTCCCTATCACTGAACAGATCGATTTCAAGATCCTCAAACTTGTGTTCAAATCCCTTCATTGCCTGGCACCTCCCGACCCCTCTGACCTTCTTATTCCCCAACCCACTACCCACTGCCTCGCTTGACTGACTCTGGCCTCCTGTTCCATCTGTTCCATCATTTGGTGGCCATGTTTTCAGCCACTACCCCTTGAAACTCTTCCTCTATCCCTTCGCCTTGCCCCTTACTTCCCCATCTTCAGATCGCTCCTGAAGACCTTCCTCTTTGACCATGCCTATGGTCACTTGCCCCCAGCTCTGTGTCGTGCTCCGCCACTGTTAACAGTTCTGGAGCACTAACCTGCGTGAGGGGTGCTAGGTAAATACAAGTTGTTGTTGGTGGTATTGAGAATGGCTGCTTCAGGCATTTCCGATAGAATTCATCAGTAACCAGTGTAGAAGTCTCCCAGAGCATATCTCGTGGGAAAAACTGAGTTAGAACAATCAATTGACTTAAAACTATGGGGAAAAAGTAGATTCTCTGAGGTTGTGTAATTCAGTCAAGGATTTCAGTCATTATGTTGTTATTTATTTTCTTTTGTAGGTAGATTATGATAACCACGCATTATACAAGCATGGACACAGTGGTCGGAAACAGTCTCCTGTGCGAATATTTACTAATCTTCCTCCCAAAGATGTTGTTCTTCCAGCTGAAGAAGGATACAGGTAAATCCCAGATCTGTTGCACAAACATCACTAAAGTTTAGATTTCTAAACTGAGACTGAAAAAACTTTTAGCAATTTTGAAAATTAAAATGAACGTATCAGCTTGTCTCATGTGATAGCACTCTCTCTTTGTTGAATCAGAAGTTTGTAGGTTCAAGACCCAAATTGTGACTGAGCTTAAAGTCAAGACTGACTCTCCAGTGCAGTGCTGGGGGAAAGATGCACTGATGAAGATGCCATCTTTTTGATTAGATGTTGTTCTGAGGTCCCATGTTCAGGTGTTTTTTTAAAGATCCTGTGGCGCTATTCGAAAATAGTAGGTCATTCCTCCTAATTGTCATGGCCAACAATGTTTCAGATAAAATAAAATGGTCATGGCTGTTGTTGGAAACACTGCCCTGTGTAAATTGGCTGCTACGTTCACCTGTAAATATAGTTACTCCACTGCACTTTGCAGTAAAGCACCCGGTGAGCACTTTGAAACATTTCAACATGATAGTGTTATATCAAATGCAAGGATTATTGTTAAGATTACGTGTTAAGAAATTACAAATTGCCACATATTTAGACTCTAGTGTGTGCGGTTCTAGGTGTCTTTTGGTTTTAAGTTGTAATATACAATTTCTGTTGTTCTTCCCTCAGGTTCTGTTCATTGTGTCAGCGATATATATCCTCAGAAAACAAACACTGTGAGAGCTGCCAAGCCTGCACATCCAAAGTAAGCTTGGTTTATTCAGCACTGTCTAAGGGAGGAATTTGTTGTTGATTACAAAGAACATTATATTTGGTAATAAATCCCAAGTATTGTATTGTTAGCTTGGCTCAATTGCTCACACTCATCATGCCTCTGGGTTGAAAGGTTTTGGGTTCAAGCCTCATCCTGAATCTTTCATGCCATTTTATTCTTCCTAAAACTTTACATTGATGGTGTGTATTTCATTTCTCTATTAGGATGGGAGAGCATGGAAACACTGTCAAATCTGCAACAAGTGTGTGAAACCATGTGAGTAACTCATTAACCAATTATAGTGTATCTTATTTTATTGCAAAACCTCACTCCAAAAAAGTGACGACACCATCAGCATGCTGCGTGACAAGTCCACTTTTCTGTATCTTCACTTTAATACCCTTGCACTTTCCTTTATAAATAAGACAACAAATTTACATTTTTAAAGCACCTTTCACTTCAGGCAGGTGTCCTAATGCGCTGGAAATATCAAGACTTCCTTGCTTTGAAGGCAAACATTTTTCGACTATTTAATTTGGTTTCAAAATTAAATCTGCGTCATTGCCAACTTTAAAATATTTTGGAGAGGGATATGGTACAGTAGAAATAATCTTGTTATAAAATGTGCTTTGAAATAAGTGATGTCAATGGCAACCTTATGGCCTGGAAGTTGAACATTTTGGCTGCTTACAGCTGGTCAGTGCTGATGGAATTGTCCATCTGTCTGCACACATGTGCAACGAATGGGTAAGTGCTGACTGGTGATGGGGCCCTGTTGTAAAGTGGGTTGGGATTTTTTTGGGACACCAATGATCGCACTATAAGAAGGATTTCACTGTTTTTGTGTCCCTGCGTCATCCTGTTTTGCAAAAACAATACTTACTATGATAAACATTTTAATGTTGAGCATGTTCATATTTCGATACATGCAAAACAAATCTGAGATAACTCAGTACCGCAGTCAAGGAGACAAGGTAACTGGGTCATCCATGATGGCTGTGCGAGTCCGCTGATGAGTTTACTTTTATGGCTCCAACCTCCTGCTTTGTGTGTTATTTCACATCAGTGTCTACAGAGTCCTGTAACTCAGTGGTTAGAGCCCTCGCCTCACAAGCGAGAGGACCTGGATTTGAATCCCGGCAGGGCGAAACATTGGGCAAGTTTTCTTACTCCACAAGCCTTTTTTACCTAGCAGTAAGTAGGAACTAGGTTGTTAGTCGATTGGCAGATTGCTTTTGCGGGGGTAATAATCCCTTCACAAAAAAAAATTGGTCACTCAATCCATGACTGTTTGTGGGACATTGCTGTGCGCAATTGGCCTCCTTAATTCGCCCACAAATATACAGTTAATTCACTTTACAGTATATTCTGTGAAGCGCTTTGAGACGTCTAGAAGAAGTGATAAGATGCTATATCAAATGCAAGGATTATTATTATGATTTGACCATCTTCTGTCCTTCAGTATTACATTGGCATGAAACTGGCTTGAAAGATTTTAACGCCAGTGTAAAAGGGTAGAAGTAAATTAAATAAACAATATGAAATGGAAGACGGAATGGGAAACAAGAGGAGACTAAACAGGACAAACACAGGTTTATGAAAAATAAATTTGTTATCAGTTCTTTTAGTAGTTAATATTGCAGCAATAAAGTTGTCCTTGTGTTTGAGCAGAATATTATTGTAATGGTATTTTTTTTATTCAGTGAGGCCCTTGAAACTTATTGAACTGGTTGGCTTATGAAAGCCCCACATTCTATAGACCTGGTACCATCCCAAGGGTTAATATTTTGCCTGCAGTTGTAGATCTGTTGAAAGCTATGAGCATAATAACCTTGTTTTTTGTATCTATGTCAGCTTACTAATGGAATTGGTGACCACAGATTTTTAGAGCTGAAACGTCGTGTCTCTCCTTTGTACTGTGGGCAGTGAGGTCAATGTTTGAGAACTAAAAACTAAATTAGAAATGATTGTGATATTTTGCAGCTTGGGTTCACTGTGACAGCTGTGGACGATGTGCACTTCAGGAACACCCTTGTGGGAAGGTTGGACATGGTTGCTTTACCTGTGGCAGCACTGAGCACAAACGCAGAGAGTGTCCGGTTTCCGAGAATAGAACCACCATGTGAGTTAAACCATTTTATAACCCAGGTTATCCAAGAGGAATGTCCATTGGATGTTGACTCAGGATATTATTTTCTAAGCTTTCCCAGTTCCTTAATTTTATTCCTGGGTTGTTTCAATTTCCTTGTGTGAATGAACAGGGCTCAGTCAAAATGGGGAAAGAATGGTACCCTGTCTATTGAGATTGGTTCTTCATAGCAGTGTAAGGACATTTATTCTCTTAAACCACCCCGCCCCACCGTCCTTTTGTTTCTGTTTTTTTTTTTTAGCTCTTTTGTTCTTTTTCTCAATTCACTGATAATTGCCTGTCCTGTCCCCTGCTAAAATTCTTATTTGGTTCTATTCCGTATTGCACTTGTGTTTAAACATAACTCTCACCATTTCTAAACATGTCAGAATTCCCTGCTGAGGTTTTTGCATTTTTTTTTTGCCTATTCACACTTAATTGTGGCATTTCTTACAGCATTCTATTATTATCTACATTAAACTGAGGCATCCTTCGGTCTGTGTCAGTTGTGCAGGGTGACCCATCTGCCTTTCCTTTACACACTGTCTGTGCTCTGCAATGCCTCACAGTGGGAGCTTCAAACCTGTGTCCTGTTGCTTTGTGGCACAGCATGTTGGAAATCCTGCATTCTGCAGCATTGCCCTGTGCAATTGAACATTTGTGTATCTTATTAAAACATCTAAAGGTTTATTTTTTAAATATTTTTGTGCAGGAAAAAATTGAAATCGGGTAAACGTAAAATATCAGAGATGGATAAGGAACCTGTCGCAACCAAATTTCAAAGGCAGACACAAGCAAAGAGAGCAAGAAAAAAGAAAAAGGTCAAGTGGGCACCTGGAAAATCAAAAGGAAAACCAAAGAAAAAGAAATAACAACAACCCAGAGAGGAGACTGTCCAGTATCTGATGACCAGTCACTTTGAGTTGAAACTACCTCTTGGTGTTTGCAACAAAAGAACTGCAAAGAATTATCAAAACAAATGTGTTAACCATTGAACGATCTATAATAATAATCCTTGTATTTGATAAAGCGAAGTGACTGTGTATTTTGTGAACGAAACGCGGCAGCCAATTGCACGTAGCAGTGTCCCCCCTCCCAGAACAATCTCTGAAAGAGGCATTTGTGTTTAGCCTCTCACTATTCTATGTCATTCTGTATTGACTGCAAACCTGTGTAACCCAGGGTTAGAAATGCAGTTGTATTGGATTATTTAAATGCAGATAATTTTAAAACACCCAGAGTAACTATGGAGAACTTAGCTGTGACTCCTTCATGTCCTCCATGAGATCTGATGGACTTCAGCTTTTGCTTATGAAATTTGGAACCTGAGCCAATAAATATCACCTTGTTTTATATTTTAGTCACTTTTGAAGGCTGGTATTTCTATAGGAATATGATTTGAATGGAGAGTCTTTTTTTAAAATACTGCAAATGTTTCTTTCCAAAGCAATGTTTCAACAAGACTCACTTTACTTTTCCCTGTAAGTAGGTTAAGTCATTTGGTATTTGTCTGTCGCAATCTTGGATTTTCTAACTTGTCATTCTAAGAGGCCACAAAGATGAGATTTTATATACTCAGACGGTCTGATACAGTAATTGCCAGTTCTGTCAAACTCCATTTGAACATGGAAGAGAGGTAAACAAATGCTAAGCCATTATTTTGTTGACATGAATCATGCTTTCAATTATTTGACCCTGAAATGGTCCAAGAGTGCAATTTTCAGTTTGAGCAAAATAACAAATACAAAATGTCAAAGCCATCACATCAAAGGCCTTCTACATTAAAGAGCAGGAGAAATGCAAGCACCTGCTCAATGCTTTGCAAATCTATTTCAAACCTGTAGATATAAAATATTTCTTAACCCACACACATTGTGGTTCTGTTAGTTTCAGCAAACTGCAAATAACTTTGATCCGTAAATTGTTTTTAAATTGCAGCATCTTGTTCGAGAAATGGTGACAATATGCTTCTCTCTATATATGGAATAGTATAGGCATTGCAGTGCTGTGAACTAGATAATGTCTGAAACATAAAAGGGAGAGACTGATTGTGTCAGTAAATTCAAGAGGGATTGGAATTTGACACAAATTGAGGTATATTATTTTTATGTTTGGACTGTTCATTTGTCTAAAATATCCAGTAAAATTAAAAACTGGTGTATTCAATATGGTTTCCTTATTGAGGAATCCCATTAAAATTAATCATTTATTAGCCCTCAATAATCCCTAATTTGATATAGTTCCTTATCACGGTGAAACATCTCAAAATGCTTCACACGATAGGGTGCAGTGATTATTTTCTATGGGTACTAAGGAGAATTAAGGAACTGCGTGATGAATATTGAATTCAGAGATGCAAATGAAAATGAATCCATGCAAAATGTGTACATTTAAATGGTTGATGGTATAAATTCTGCTTTTCTTCCCCTTATCGCATGTTCTGTCTGTAATGTAGCTGGGAGGTGATCTGCTCACAGCTGTCTGTCACAGCGGCAGTTTGTTGTGGAAGAGCCCGAAGGAAATCTCCCACTGGGAATCCGACCAATTCAAAGCCCGCCCAGAGTAGAATAGCTGAGGTTTGAAATCAGGCAGAATTGAAGAACCTGCCCTATATGTAGTTCTGTTCACATTGTGTTACAGCACCAACTGTTTGCCAACACTCTCCCTCTAAGGGTCAACTAGTTTTTAAAATATATGTAAAGTATTAAGACTTAATCATAAAATTGAACAGATTTATTTATGTTTTTGAAACTGTAGGTGTTTGAATTGTTAACTTTTTAAAGCAATTCAGATATACTTTCTTGAACTGCTCGTTATTGCTTGTTGAACATTGACCCTTGGCCTGAACTCATTTGAGTTTCTCCATAAACCTCACTGGAAAATGAACTTGCGAAATTTATTGCACAGATGTTCATTCTCATACACAAATTAAAAACAAGATCACAAGAACTTTTTTGCCACCATCAGCTTCTGTTCATTCAAATGCTGCAGACGTTGAAGTTCGGGAAAGACAAGAGTACATCTGCCTCATACAAGAAAATAGGATGCTTCCGGCTCCTCTCTCGGTCCACGAGCAGCTTCTCCCTTGTTAAACTCACAGAATCTGCTGAGAAATGGCTGTTGCCTTGACTTCAGTGACAATAAGCACATTGCAGAGAGGAGGAGAAGGATGGGAGCAGCTGCTGCAACGACTATAATGCCTGTTGTTCCTGTTAAAAGGTGTAATCACTGTAAATATATGTATATATCCTTCAGCTCAATAATAAGAACATTGAATGGTATTTGATTATTACCTTTTCCAAGGAAGGAATCTGTGAGGTCAGTTTTGTTCACGGGAGACGCTTTGGTTAAAAATGGCAAAGTTGACACTTTCGAGCAGTTAAAGTGAACAAGCGAGAGTTGTGCCACCTGATGTCCCCTGAGACGTTTGGGATTTTCACACATCATATCCACCTGTATCTGCATCCACAAAACACATTGCTCAAAGTGGTGACTGTAAGTGAATTCTGGATTCATACCTTTTTGGCTCTCTGTCCAATACAATTTTGGGAGTCAGATTAGTGTCCACGTCATTAAAACTATGAAAGTCATCCTACTTTTTTTTTATTGCCAATAATTGTCTCCAGAAAAAGTTCTTGGTGAGGTAACTCAGCACAGACAGCAAATTAGACCTGCAACCTTCTAGTTCAACATCTATTCATTGGATAACCTTGCAGAGATCACAGTGAAGAGCTGATTTTTTTTCACAAATGAAATGTAGTCCATACTATGAAGTTGGTCTTTATCTCCAAAACACCACACAGCTGATGTGCAATAACGAGGTCTAATTTGCAAGGTTTTCAGAAGGATTTGTAAATAATGAATCCAGGGAGTAGGTATGTGTCGAATGCCACCTAAACAATTTACATTTACATAGCGCCTTTCATTTTGGGAAGACGTCTCAGCACTTCCGTGTTTAATGGTCACCTGAGCTGAGGGTGGGAACCGAGGGGGTAAGAGGATCAAGATGACTGAAAGCCTAGTTGAAGAAGTACATTTTGAGATGTGTCTTGAAAGAGTGGAGAGACAGGAACTATGGGAAGGAGTTCCAGAGAGCGGTGGCAATGGTCACTGGCAGGTGAAGGAATTTGATTTAAATGAAAGTTTGCAAAGTATCGCATGGTTTAAATTTCCACGATGCCAGATTGTGGCCAAAGGTGGCTCCTGGCCTGGAGATTGACATCTGCAGCAATCACAGGGCTGGTTGGAGACACATTTGCAGGATCCACTATTTACAAATCATTTTGCAAATCTCACAAATCAAACCCCAATGTCTACACCCATTAACGATGCATAAAAATAAAAAAAAAGCACTATGAGCCATAATTCTTGGTCAAGCCCCAAAAAATAACCCTGAGCATAAATATGTGTAAAGTCACGCACTTGATGTCAAGTTTGCTATTACGCTGCAGAGCATAATTATGCCGCTTGAATGTAATGACAGTCGATGTAAGGCACATTTTCTGAATGAAATTGCAGCAGTTAAGTAAAAATTACTGATGCATGTTTTCCCATTATTTTTTACACGCTGGTCTCTTGCTCACATACCTTGACAATCTCCAGCCATTTCTTTAGTGCGCACATGTTGGCATCACAGTGAAATGGGTTTTGGGTCAGATTAATGTCCACAGCGCCACCCGCTGACCAAACGATGGGATTTAGCGTCTCTTCAGAAAGGGTCGCAAGTTCATTCCCAGACAAGTCTAACAACTTGAGGTTCTTCTGCGAGCGGAAGGCTGTTTTGCTTATAAATGTAATTCCTGAGCCTGCAATAAGATTAAATAGTTTTAAAGTAAATCTCTGTCCTTCCTTCCTGTCACTCGTCAAAAGCAGGTAAAGCAATTTGATTTAAACGGAAAGTGCACAGTAAAACAGGTCAAGTTGTTAACTTGAAACATGCGGTTAATTATATTATTGTTTGCACATCTGTCATACAACTCTCAGCAACAAGTCAATCAAATCATAATTAATGCGATTATAGAAACAGCGCATTCAGCCTGATGGTTGATATATTACTAAACAAGGTGAAAAATAAGATCTGAAGCCTTTATAGACACATTATTTCAATAGGAAACCAAAAGAAAGAAGCAAGTTTGTTTCTTATCCAAAATGTAAAGAATTTGGGTTTTTAACAACAGGCCAATCCTATTATAAAGCAATAGTTTGGGTCGATAAAGTCAAATACTCCTTAGATTTGATACAGTGCCTTATGTCATCGCATCATCTCAAAGTGCTTCACAAAATATACTGTAGAGTGAATTGACTATATTTGTGGGCGAAACGTAGCAGCCAATTGCGCACAGCAATGTCCCACAAACAGTCGTGGATTGAAGTGACCAATTTATTATTATTTTTTTGAAGGAATTATTATCCCCAGAAAATGACCTTTGGTTAGGAGGAGGGGGCACATCACAGCTAAATCCTACCCTGTCCTTAACCTCTGCTTGAAATGAGCATTGATGGAAAGGGACCAGGAAAATGCATTTTTGCTTATATTGCACCCACAACTGCCCCAGCAATAATCAGCAAACTCAGAGATCAATCTCGCACGCTCTGAACCGTATGGCTCAGTACCTCAGCACACGTTGCATTTGAGGTTGAATTATTCATGTGTCAAAAAGGTTTGATATTTTTATGTGATAATTTTAACAGTACAATGTTCAAAATCTAAAGTCTTGCGAAAGCAAGTCTTGCAACAACACATTACATTTGTGTAGCGCCTTTCACGTCAGGAGGACGTCCCAAGTGCTGGACAATCAAGGATTTTTGACAGCACCAAACACAGTAGCACTGAGTCCCAGCAAATTACCTGTTTCTGCAGGACAGAAAGTGTTATCAGAGTCAGTTCAAGTTACATTAGTGTGTTTAAAATGAGCATGAAATTGGACAACTTTTACTAGATTTGAAAGAAAATAAAATGAGTTGTGACAAGGACAGATTTTAGTCGGATTATTTAGTGAATGAGGTGCTGGACATTCCTACTCTTCTCCAATTTATCTTTTATCCTCATTTAATTTATTCTGGGAGATAAGATAAACTAATTTCTTATCATAATTCAACAGAAAGTGTCTTGTTGATTGGGGGACGTTTGACTTTAATTGCAGAAGGGGTATTACTCTGTTGCTAAAAGGAGATGTGTTGTTTTAGTTTTGTAGTTTCATCAAATAAGAAACCAATAGTTTGTTGCGTTGCAGACTGCTCTGATTCAATAGTTATAGTTCTGAGAGTGTTGTGAAAGGGAAAGACATTTTAAGTCAAAATTGCCTCACAGATTACTAACAGTGTATAGTTGATTTTGCTGTTGTATCCATGCATGAAAACACAGTAACAATTTCAGACAGAAATAGACAATCTGCCAATGTAACCCACTCAACCAATTCCCCTCAAAATGATCTATCCATGTATCTCTCTCTGAATCTAATAACCCCGGATTCTTCCAGTGGACAGGGGACCATCCACACTTTTTGAAATGTCTTTCAATAAGGATCATTGTATAAGGATCAATGATTCTGGTAATTTGTCCCACAAGCCCATTCCACTCAAAATAAATTCTGCATTTCCTCTTGAAAAATGCATGTGGATAAAGCTGAAATATCTGACCAGCCAGATCATTTAACATGACTGACGTTACCAGTACTTATTTCCATAGCATCATCTGAGGGAAATCAGAACATCAGACCAGTTTCACTAGTGTAACTTCCCAGTCCCACACCCAGCCTGTGTGATAAAACAATATCATTCTCATTGAAAGAAATTACAATAGAATAGTTTTAACTTAGCAGGAAGTAAACTAGAATAATACAGATTACATTTTTGAGGCCACAGGGCTTATTTTTTCCCATAAGAAATGTTTTTATCCTCCAATAAAAGAATATGCAGAACTGACAGTACCTGACAATCGCAGTATCTGTAGTCTGGCTAATTCGGAGAAGTACTGTGATAGTACGCGATCGATCTTGTTATCAGATAAATCCAGTTCTTGAAGTAGTCGCATTTGATTAATGACAGGCACATAGGTCAGACTGAGCCCCTTAAGGATCAGCACCTGAAGAAAATAATGTGCCAACAAGTCAGTGTCACAAACATGAACTCAATCCAGCTCATCGATTTTACCAGTATCCAGGCAAACAGCGGGTAAGAGAGGCCATCTCTCTATGTAATCCTATAATGTGGGATACACGTTTAAAGTAGTAAGTAGCCTCTAAATTAGCTTACAATATGCACAGTCAGTACACTTCACAGTATATTCTGTGAAATGCTTTGAGACGTCCTCCTGACGTGAAAGTTGCCATATCAAATGTAAGCATTATTATTTATTATAATTATATTGTGTACATAGGAATTTAGGAAAAGGAGGCAATGCAGCTCATTGAGCCACTTCACCACCAACCACTTCACAGCATTATACACCTCTACAATCACTTGATCTCACTTCCCTGCCTCTTGATCTTATCTTTTAATATTCCTACTTACATTACAATTAATAAAATTGTGGTGCTTTATATTAAACACATATGACATTAAATGAATGTGAACCAATCTTCTGCTTCTGCTTCTTTAAGTTACTTTGGTTTTCTGGTGGTTTAAAATACTATTTTCACTGTGATGACCATGAAACTGATGCTAACATTTCAGAGACCTTGGAAACCAGAGCAGCTTCATGACTGGACTTTATCAATGAGTCTGAATCTGCTGTTTGCAGTCGTTCTGACCTGCTTGAATACTGCATTCAAACTGGGACCTCCACTAGGATTGTTGTCTATTTTATTGCCAGTTTGGCAGCATTAAAAACTGTTGAAGTTCTTTAAAGAGTAAACACTCTGGGCTCAGTAGATCCAGACCAGCATCAGTCCCGAAAAAAAGGTGGCGGGGGGGGGAATTGGTTAAAATGTGATACAAGGAATGCCACAATATTACTAAGGTTGTGAGCCAATGTGCTCCCCACCATAGTTGGTCACCACTTATTATGGAGCAGAGGCCATTCTTCCACCTAAGCGATGTAGTTCGTTTTTATTTGAGTTTGGTTGAGACCCAATTCTGACCTACATTGGAGCTGAGCCAGAAGCATTAGATTTTCTTTTGTTCTATCAGGAAAGTGCTTTGTAGCCTTGAGCTGTTTTGTCTGAGGAAAGGTTAAATAATTATAATGAATAATCATGAACTCCCTCATCTCGCACAAAACTCCAGAGTTTATACTTTAGGGCTGGAATCCAAAAGGATAAAAACGTACTATTCTCTTTACATAAAGACTTCCGATTCTGTTATAAATTGAGCTGCAGGTGTTCCAACGCATAACACACCACCATATCATGTGCAAATTCATTCCCTCTCACATTACTATAGAATACAGTTTAGCACTAAATATTAATCTGTAAACCAAAATGATACAAATTAAGATCAGACAAATGGCACAGGTTCACATTCTTATGACTTGTCGCATTCTACTGTGTAACATTGTCCATTCATAGGATACTCCTCCTATCCAATGGTCATTGAAATGTGAAGGAGCATAAGAACATGAATAAGCCATTTGACCCATCGAATCTCTTCCCCCATTTTATTAGTTCATGACAACTTTCTAATCTCATTTGCCCGCCTTTTTTGCAATAAGCCTGGAATTAAATTAGTTCGGAATCAGTGAGGCCTAATTTGTGTATGTGTGCGTGTGTGTGTGTTCTTAATAAGAAATCCGATTAATATTTGCTTTGACACTTGGAGACTCTGCTCCAGACACAGATCACATCAGAACAGAGTTCCTGCGGGTCAGTGCAACATTCTTCCAATTACTGGAGCAAGTTCCCATTTGCATGACTTGGACTCCTATTAAAACACACCACAAATAATACAGTAATAATAATAATCTTTGCATTTGATATAGCGCCTTATCATGTTATTGAGACATCTCAACGCGCTTCATAGGATATACTGTAAAGTTGATTGACTGTATTTGTGAACAAAATACAACAGCCAATTGTGCACAGCAATTACAGTCATTATTTCAAATCAAAGGATGATCTGTTTTCCCTGCAGTAAGATCACAGCTCCTTAATTCCAAACCATCAATGTTAAATTATTTAATAGAAATAATAAATAACAGTTACAGTCACACCCAAAGCTGCATGCTTGTAATTACTGATTTCTGATCCAAAATTGAAATCTTCAACACAAATTAGAAACATGCATTTCACAAATGTCTGTTAATGTACAACTTACAAGTTTTCTTACCTTAATCTTTTTCAGGGGGAGCAGAGCTTGGTATTGGAAGTCTTGAAGCTGCAGCTGTGGACCCAAGTATAGTTCTCTAAGCTCGTGTAAACTCTGAAAAGCATCTACACAAAAATATGATTTCTCTTTAATGAACTACTTTATTTACAACATTTTGCAATTTACTGTAAACTACAGCTATCTAATCATCCAGTAATAAAGCCGGTTTTCCGTAACTTCTTTTAAATGCTGTTCTACAGATAACTGGCTTTGAAGTTGACTGAATTTAATAATTTGCCAAATTCTGGATGCTCAAAAATGCTAATAGAATAATGCTAGACCCAGGTGAAATTTCTACCCATAAGTGGGGATCTCAAGGCTGCCAATTGGACAAGTTACTAACTCATCATCGGTTTTATGAAGTGTCATTCTAGTCAGTGTAGTCATTTTAATAAGGCACACAATGTTCAAATAAATGTTTTGGATGGGAAACAGCAAATGTCGCCAAATAAACACTGATTTAAACACAATTACAACAAATAATGAATGCTAGTGGCTAACATATTGAATGTACCTCAACTACTAATTGGAGGCACTTCTTTCAGCAAAGCTGTCATTGAATAGTATTAAGTACACCAGAAAACTCAAATACCAGCAAAATGTAATGTTCATTGCATGTGCACAAACATTTACTAAAGCTCCTAGTCACCCTGAACTCAAAGATGTCCACAATGAGCAGAACCCATCTTGATTGGTTTGCAGAGAGGTAAGCACCTGCTGTTTAAGCTCTACACCTCCAATTTATGGAACCATCGCTGAATGGGAAAGAATGTGTGTCCGAGCTGTGGACAGAAAGATGGTGGCAATCCTGTCACACATTTCCTGATGAGCTGTGTTGCCTACTGGGAAGCTCACAAGGAGTTCCTGGTAACTACCATCCACCTAGTGAGGACTCAAACCCACGTTTGTTGGATGTCAAATGACCAACTGGTAACTATCCTCCTTGGGGCTTGGGGGAAGGTAAGGGGGAGTCTCCTTGGAGCTGAACTAGTTCCAAGGTGATATGTTTGCCAACTGAATGTCCAAATCAAGCCAACCCTCTGTGGCAATCTCAATAAGGCTCTTCCTGAGCCAGGCGGGTCTGCATATTGGGCATTGCCGATGACAGCACAGCCAGCCTGGCTCAACATTGCAGTGTCAGCCTGGACTGTATGAATTCCAAGACCCAGTGTGGGGCTTGAATGGGAAATGACTGATTCAGAAACTAGAGTGCTATCAACTGAACCAAGCTGACACACAAGTTTAATCCAGTGTAATGTTAATTCACTTATTGCAAATTATCTTTTCCTCAGTGGTTATAATATAATAATCCTTGCATTTGATAAAGTACCTTATCACGTCTTCGAGACATCTCAAAGCGCTTTACAGAATATACTGTGAAATGAATTGACTGTATATTTTGTGGGTGAAACGCGGCAGCCAATTTCACACAGCAATGTCCAACAAACAGTCGTGGATTAAAAAGCCCTTGTTCAGAATACAAAATGCATATATTCATTCAAATGGGTGAAGCCACATACCTGATTTAATTTCCTTGATGGAATTGTTACTGATAACCAGGACCTGGAGCAGAGTAAGTGAAGCCATTGGTTTGCTTGGAAACTCTGTTAACCTGTTGTCATGTAGATAGAGTTGATTCAAATGGACTATGTTGGAGAATGCTGAATTCTCAACAGTCTCTAAATTGGAACTATTCAGTAGCAGAACCTAGAGACAAATATTAAAGGCTTACAATAATCTAAAGTTCCTTAGATGTTGTTAGATGAAAATGAATAATTGTACTTTGTTGCCTGGAGTGAAGCAGTTTAGGTTTGGTCAAGGAGATCTATTGATAACATTTGCAGAACAGAACACAAACCATTAATTTGGGCAATTTCTATCCTGTTGTGGCACTGCAAACATTTGTTGTTTGCTGCTGTCACAACACACAGGAAAATAAATACAATACCACATAAACTAAAGGTCATTGAATGGATAAATACACAATTATAGCATGTCAGTAAGCTATAATAGACCAGTAAAACCCATTTTAGAATTGGCTGATCTAAGCCAAAGTGGTGGGTAGTTTTCAGTCCTGGTTGTTATCCAGTGACTCTGGCTGGAAAGTAAAGTTGTATATTTGCATTTGGACATCGGGCGAGAACACGTTAGGTCCCGGTTGTTAGGGATTCAAATACAGATAGAAAGCTGATATTCACATGGAGATGTATGCCTGAGGTATCAGAAGGCTACTGATGTCACAGCAAAAAACCACACCTTAACATCAGGTAAGAAAACAAGAAAAGTACTAGACACAGTCACCATCCATTTAATTTAGATTCACCTTATAACTCCAAGTCCAGAAATATGACCTAAGACAAAATACGTTCATGACCATTCTAATAGCACCAAAATGTGTTGGTTTGAACAGTAATAATTTAGGCTACAGCATCAACCCAGCCAGAGCTACATATCAAGAAAATATTTGTTAGTTTTGCAAAATTTTATATATAAATTACAACTTTCACAGAACTCATCAATACAATGGATATGTCTCGGGAAACTGGTGAAACATGTAGATTCACTGACACAATAACCCTGGTGATCATTTTGCTGTAAATCTTCTTAAATACACACCTAAAATATATGTGTAGCAGTTCTAATCTGATTTATAGATTTTGTGGTTGTTTGGCTATCACTATCTCTTGTTTCATCTAATGCAGTAAAAATATCAAAATATTATAAATAAAAAAGTGCTAAGCTAAAAGACAATAGTTAGTACTATTCTCTGACTTACAATGCAATGGCTATTCTCTGCTTCCTATTGTAGAGAAAAGAAAATGCCCACTATTTGTTTGAAAAGTAAGTAATCGAAAAGGCGAATGGAATGTTGGCCTTTATCTCAATGGGCCTGAATACTAAGGGGAGGAAATGTTGCTTCAGCTGTACAGAGCATTAGTCAGACCCCATCTGGACAACTCTGTTCAGTTTCGGGCACCACACCTCAGGAAAGACATATTGGCCCTGGAGGGGATTCAGCGCAGGTTCACCAGGATGTTACTGGGACTAAATGGTTAAGTTACGAGGAAAGGCTGCATAAACTTGCATTGTATTCCCTCGAGTTTAAAAGGTTGAGGGGTGATTTGATTGCGGTGTTTAAGATGATAAAGGGATTATATAGGGTAGATACAGAGAAGCTACTTCCTCTGGTGGGGAGTCCAACACAAGGCGGCATAGTTTTAAATTAGAACCAGGTCATTTAAGAATGAAATCAGGAAGTATTTTTTCACTCAAAGGGTGGTAGAAATCTGGAATTCTCTCCCCGAAAAGGTTGCGGATGCTGGAATCATCCACACCTTCAATAATGAGGTTGATAGATTTTCCGTAGATCAGGGTATTAAGGGATATGGGGAGAAAGTGGAAAATTGGAATTGAAAGGATTAGTTGAGGTACAGTTCAGCTATGATCTAATTAAATGGCGGAACAGGCTCGAAGGGCTGAATGACCTACTCCTGTTCCTATGTTCCTATGTAAAATCTGAGGTGAAAATTGTACCGTGTGTGGGTAATTATATAACCAGTGATAACAACAAAGCACATCACAATTTTCACCTCAAGAGATGCAAGCAACATTTTCTGAATATAGCATTTGGTATTTGCATCTTTAACGACTAATTTTATTACTTTTTTTTAATATTGAGATTACAAAAAAGTTTTTTACAAAAATTATTTTTTAAATAAAATCCAAATTCATTTTAGAACAAAATGAGATCTTTTCTTCAATTCAATCAATAAAGTACAATTTAGGTGTTCCTGGTTCAAACAAACTCGTTTCTCACCTGTAATTGGTTGTAGTGCTTGAAGCATTCATAATATCTTGTTTTGAAACTGCCACCACTCAGATTGAGAACAGATAGATTTCTTGCACTTGTCGATTGATTCAGTTGTGATGGGCATTGTGCTGAAAGGGTATAAAAGTTTCTCCTGAGGATAAATGCATAAAGCAGGCAATTGTGCAGAAAACAAATATGTTATACATGTTCATGCCAGCCTCCCTTTGGACTATACTGTATGATCAACGTGGACTCGTTTTGTACAGAAATTTACCCCTCACATCTCTCTGCTAAAGACGTGCCTTTTTTTTAATATTATCAAAACCTTATCAGTTTGACTCAACCACAGCCATTTCCTTGGCAATGCTTTTTTTTTAATGTTCTCTAAGAACTGATAGCAACTTATTTGAATCCAGCAGCTGCTCTGTGACACTGACATTCTTACACGAAAACCCTGTGTAAGCAAAATACTGAACTCTGGGTCTTCAACAGCAGCTACGGTTGAGGCAATGCTACCTGATAAGTGATAATCCCACTCACTGTAAATCCTGTTACTCTGGAACAAAGCTGAGCTGTTTGAAGCTCAGCTGTTGACCTTCTAAAAATCCAACAAATGTGGGATGTTCTTTGGCGTAGAAAACAATTCCAATTTTCTTTCATTTCGAAAGCTGCTGATAACAACTCTGAAAACTGGGACGCCATCTGTGCTTTTAATTGAAAGAGCTCGCCGCTCTTGTTTTTTGATGTTTGCTATGGTTTCGGGCAACTGGCCAATGCCAATGCTTTGAACTCATGCAAACTTGTGAATTGATCCTGCATAATTCCAGTACTTAGCATGGGCGGGGATCACCTGCATCATTCTTAAAAAAAATCTTCTGACTCCGTGCTGGAAGTGGTCACCCCAGCAAACAACTCTATATTCCATTTGCCTTGGTGACAGCAGTGAGGGTTTCCATTGCTGCCAGCTATTCAGCAACCCATGCAGTGCTTCTGGTTATCGCAGTTGTAAAGTAAATTATAATCGTTTTCAACAAGAAACCTGTTGTTAAAAATAAATCACGTAAAGATGTGTTTGCTTTTATGTCTGTGCACCGATTTCAGTACATACAGAGGCAGTGTGAATGCTAACCACTAAGCTACAGGTGGAGTCCTGTGGCTTAGTGGTTGGAGGACTCGCCTCGCAAGGTCTCTACCTGGGTTCGATTCCCGAGGAGGGCGAAACTTTGGGCAAGTTTCCTTATTCCATGCACCTGTTTATCTAGCAGTAAGTAGGAACCCGGTTGTTTGTCGATCGGCAGATCGTTTTCCAGGGGTAATAATCCCTCCAAAAGAATAAAATAATAATAATTTGGTCACTCAATCCACCACCGTTTGTGGGAAACTGCTGTGCGCAATTGGCTGCTGCGTTTTGCCCACAAAATAGACAGTCAATTCATTTTACAATATATTCTGAAGAACTTTGAGACATCTCAAAGACGTGATGAGGCGTTATATCAAATGTATCATTATTAATATTAGCTTGTCTACTGCTGTGCGATAATGGGCAGGGAATACTTCCTTCTTTGAACATTGTATTCAACCACAAAAAATAAAAGCATTATCCTTTCATATGATTATGTGACTTTAATGTCGGGGAACGTCTCAAAATACTTCTCAGGAGTATTTTGAAAGAAATAGCATCGTACAATAAATCTGTCTAACTTTCCCCAGTATTTCATGAAGCTTATATCATTATTTGAAAACTTATGTGGAACTAGTGTAACTATTATAGTGTAACTATTATATGAAACTAGTGTAACTATTTTGTAGGTAAATCCATAAGTCAATTTGCACGCACTAATGTTGCACAAACAAGCCATGGAGGATTAATGGCCAGGATGCTGGGAGAAACTTTTATCTCTTTTCAAATAGTACCATAGGATCTTAAATCCACCTGAATAGGCAGACAGCTGACCTCAGTTTAACATTTCATCCGAAATACAGGATTTCTAGTTTCATCTAAGTTTGTTATGATGACATAAGCTTCATGAAATATTAGGAAAAGTTAGCCAGATTTATTGTATAAAGTTATCTTATTCGTATTTTAAAAAGTAGAATTGAAAATGTTTTTGTATGGTGGTACGTGTTCATAAAATTGAGGTTCATCCTGTTTTAAAACTGCAATTTTGTTTCAATTGCAAAATTCAACAGGAACATTAAAGATAAACTTTATGAAATCTCCAGGTTTCTCCACATCTTCAAATCCTGCCTTAAACCTTTCTTCGACTGTGCATTCAATTATCTCCATCCAATCTCCTTGCCTGCTGCGTGGAGCAATTTGAGATGTCCTCCCACTGTGAAAAATACTCTAAAAAAGTAAATTATTATAAAATGGGAGTGTTTTTTGTGAATCAGCTGCATTATTCACTGGGTGTAGCTGAACCAAAAACTACTTCAAATTTTATCTTTTCAAGATAAAAGGCCCATCTTAAGACCCTCCTCTTTGACCGTGTCTCCGGTCATCCTACCAACCCCTACGTCCCTTCCCTCTTGAATCCCACGCCAGGCCCAGGTGCAAAGCCTTGACAGTGTCTAGGTGCTATTTAAACACAATCTATTGTTTTGGAGATGCATAAAAAGTTCTGATTTAAATATAGGGAAAACAGTGAAAAGGTCTTGTTATAAAAGGTCAGCATGCGAGGTATAGCTAGATTAGGGTTCAACTTCAACAGTAGCCTTTTGTGCTTGTCCACAGCTGTATGCTGATGCCCACACAAATGTAATCACTTCCCTCTCTGTGCCGAAAGTCCAGATTGTACAAAATATTCATTGTTTTTTCTTGCTCTCCTTTCCTTTAAAAAAAATAATGAATTTGCAAGTACATTTATACAACAATTATATAATTCAAAGGCTGTTTAAAATAAAATGCAACCCTGGATTATAAAACTGCTGCTTGTGAACATTAATTCTGGTGGTTTGTTACCCAGGACAGGACATTGGTTGATTTATTGGATAGCTTAAAACTGCCCTCTTTCTTCCATCCCACCTTTTTATCCAGCACAAATCCGTGTGTTTTTCAATCATTTATCCAGCAACAACAAATTATATTTGTATGGCGCCTTTCATGTCAGGAGGACATCGCAATGATTTTTTTTGTGGGTAGAAAACAATAGCAAGTTCCTTTCAGTCCCACTATCATTGCATTGCAAAAACGTAAAATAATTCCAAACCTAAGAGGCTATTTGGTCCACTGTCTGTTTTTCTAAAAAAAAAATCTCGAAACGACATTGTAAGAGAAGAAATTCTTAACCCCTTCCCGAATTTTTCAACTATTAATTTTGAGACTGTGCTTACCCCGTTTGACACCTATTTCTTAACTAATAGGGATTGTACTTCTCTATCTACCCTATAATGTTCTTCAATATCTTAAACTACTCCCATCATATCTCCTCTCAATATCCTCTGATCCAAGTGAAAAACAATATTCATAGAAAGCAAATCAGATACAATTCTCAATAACACAAACATTTATATTGTATATAGCGACAAACAGCATCACTTGTACAAAATACTACAAAATCATTACAAAATACCGCATATCCAGTGCATTTGCAATGACCTCTTGTGCTGTAATTTTTATGATTCCATAGTTGCAATTATGTATGGAGAAAAGCACTGTGTGATAAAGGCAGCAATTGCACACCAAATATGAAACCAAATAGTATTTTACATTGTGAAGAAAATGTGTTGGTAAACGAATTATAAACAATTTGCAGTATTATAAAGGGATGTGGGGGGGGTGATTGAGTACAATATAATTCAACAGTGGAACCATGGTTTGTTTTCATTTCGTTTTTTCCTGTACAACTTAATAAGCATTGGTCAAGCAGGTTTATGTAAGAGTACTTTTTCGTTTAATATGTTTTCATGCTCATTAAAAGCGTAAGGACTTTTTAAAGACACTGACAACATCAAGCACTCCCATGACATAGAGAGATCGATAATAAATCTTCCTTTATTTTGCTCCAAAACTGACCTTACCGGCTCAAATATATCAAACCTGTCTGGTAAATGGATATGCATCTTATCCCCTTATTTCCTCAATGACATTTCCACTTCTCACATAATTATCATTTTGGTTCTTGTGAGATTCCCCATTTGGTTTTAAATCTGGGGCATATCTGAGCCACAAGGATCTCTGTTGAACAAGCCAAACTTATGACACCTAAGATCCTTACAACCTGAGGAGACTTTGATTCTGGGAGTTTTAGATGTAGTCAAATTCACAGCAAAGTGCATAAGCCAGTACTGATTCAATACTTACTGAGCTGCACTCAATTCACCCCTAAAGTATATTTAGATCTATACCAGGGAGAGAGTAGGGCAGGTTGGAGTTTGGATCAGACTGAACTTAGTCTCTTGCTGTCGAATGAATTTTGGCAGAAACTGAACAAGCTAAGTCCAGTTTCCAGGCACAGACTCCAGGCTGGAAGCATCATCTTCAGGCAAAGCAGGGTTTTCAACAGCAGCAGCTCCACTGTTCTCAGGACCAACCAAAGTGTCCAAGGTCTCTTCCATATCTTCCTTCAGCCCACTGATATCTTGAGAATCTGGTTCTTCCTCTTCTTCATCCACTTCTCCATCATCTTCTACATCCATTTCAAAAACACGTACATGTCGCAAATTTGAACTAAGCTGTGGAATGACGTCAAATGTAGGTTAAGTTAGGTGGATACTTCAAACTGGTCCAGCACACCCTGTGAATCTGATGTGCCTTCAGAGCAGGAGAGCAGACATTTGGAAGTGTTCAAACTGCTTACTTTAAGATAACCTTCCCCTTTAAACAACTTGTCTGGCAAACAGCGAAACTGAAAGGAATTTTTTTTTGTGGGGGGGGGGGGTGGAGGGGGAAAGCGGCTTCAGAACATGCATTTCTGAAAGCATACGTTAAGAGGATCAGCCAAAAGTCAATTTATTTCTGTTATCATCTTATTGGTCGTTGATTGGATTTGCAACATTTGTTACGGTTCAAATTCTCAGCATCTGAATTTGTTTCCACCAATTGTTAACTAAAAATAGTGCAATTTGACATAAAAACCACAGTATCTGCAACATACATAATGACCAAAACTGTATTCTGGCATCTCAGCCTTACTGGACTTAAGCCTTTGTTAACACAATTGTGATGCAAGGCCCAGCCTCCATAGACCTATAAAGTTCTATTATTCCAACTAAAATCTTTTTGGCAAGTGCAAGCCTGCCTTCTGAGGATCTGGGCACCCCAGGGAAGGCACCATCTGTGCAATCCTTCATACACAAGGCTCGAAAGGTAGAGAATTCTGCATTCAAAAGCACGATATTACAACCAAAATAGTCGGACCAAGTTATATAGTGGTTTATCAAAATGCCACTTACCACACAGGACACTTTGCGGATACCATTTGCAGCGATGTACTGCGCTTTCATGTTTTCTAAGGTTCGGCACTGATTTTCAAGAGTTACTGTCTGAACAGGAATTTGATTAACCTGCTCACCCAGCCTGGAAATAACGTTACAAGCTAAATAAGAACACCGCACTTCAAAACTGGATAATTTTGTATTTTTTGGTGCATTAAATCCTTCAGTCAGTAGAGTTCAATAAAAAAAATGCAACCCTGAAGTCAATATGCTTCATATTGACATAAGTACATTTTTGAACATAGTTTCACACTGGACTTACAAATGGAATCTTGGGAGAAAATCAATGTGAAGGTCAAGGATTTGAAAATCCTTTAAAAACAGAAATGAGAAAGCACAACCTATTCAACATCTGCGACCAGTTGGGATTTCGCTGAACAATTTGAATGCACAACAGTGCTCTCTGCCAGCAGAAAACATACAATAGTCCTTACAGTAGAGTCCTGTAGATTAGTGCTTAGAGAACTTGCCTCACAAGCGAGAGGACCTGGGTTCGATTTCCTGGTATGCAAAACATTGGGCAAGTTTCTTTACTACACGCACCTCTGTTTACTTAGCAGTAAGTAGGAACCCGGTCGTTAGTCGATTGGCGGATCTGTTTTGAGGGTAATACTCCCTCAAAAAAAAATAATAATTTGGTCACTCAATCCACGACTGTTTGTGGGACACTGTTTTGTGAAATTGGCTGCCAAGTTTCGCCCACAAAATAGTCAATTTACTTTGCAGCATTTTCTGTGAAGCTTTTTGAGACGTCTCGAAGACATCATATCAAATGCAAGGAGTATTATTATTATCATCATCATAATTTCCCCCTTCCATGGATTAAATAATAATAATTCTTGCATTTGATATAGCGCCTTATCACATCATTGAGATGTCTCAAAGCTCTTCACAGAATATATGGTAAAGTGGATTGATTTTGTGGGTGAATAGAACATCTCCCTTAAAACTTTTATTTAAATTCTTAAAACAATGCTCTGCTGTTACTCAGGATTTACTGATCATTTCTGCTGAAATTGTGTGTGAGGGCAGTGTGTGTGGGATGTCACTTATAACTCACCTATTTAAAAATAGTTTAGGGAAAGGTAGCAGTTTTTTTTATGAGACACGCTTTATACCCATACCAACCCAGTCTCTTATCTGAATCCATGACCTTGACATAAATATATTATAGATACAGGAGAATGTGAATCAAGCAGAAAGTGAGATTATCTCCTGAGCTCCCTCCAATTGTAACAATCCTTGTATAGAGCATCAACCACCAGGAATGCCCTTTAGGAAAAACTATTTTACTACTAAGGAATAAATAATCTCTGCAGATAGGTGTAGCGTCTCAAAATGCTTCACAAGGTTTAATGCAAAGTAGTGACTGTATGTTTTGGAGGCAAACAGGACAGCCAAATTGTGCACAGCAATGTCCTAGAAACAGTCATACATTTGATAAATTTTACGAGGAGTGTAAGGGGTGAGGGGAAGAAAATGTTCAAATAGTACCATGGCTTAATTCAATATTAAGGAAAACATTACTCAAAGCAAATGTTATCAGTTACATCACAACTACAACTGCATTTTAAACAGTCCCATTAGTGTGTACAAAGGTAGAGGAATTGCATCTCAAACTCAGCAGTGTTCAATCATTACCTTTTACCAACATCCAATCTGAATTCCTCCTCTGTCTGCTCACTCATGTAAATTGATGACAATGGCAGCTGTGCCAAAATTCGACCTTTCTCTTCTCCTCCTACTTGCTCCTTCAGTAACACTGTCAGCATTTCATCATCGTAAAAGCCAACATCCAAAAAGTGGAACTGGCTGGAAGAAATATTATCTGACATTTTAGAATTGAAAAATACAGCTGCAGACACATAGTCCTATTTGGTATTGTCTACATTATCTTACCTTTTGATTACTGCAGTTTCCAAATGCACAAATACTAAGTAAAATTAAAAATTTCCAGAATATATACTTCTCTATTGATCAATATTACGAAGGAAGAACTATGTGAACTACCTAGAGTTACAGAACTCTTCTACTTTAGTGTCCACTGAAAAAATATTTAAAATCTATCAAGTTATTCTTATTTGATGCAGAAGTCTAATCCTCAAAGTTAATCATTAAATGAAAGGGGGTTAATAAGAACAGATCCTCTAGAATATCGGTATATCATTCTTTAAATATAGCCGAGGTACAATTGTCCTGGGTGGTACAATCAACACCGTTGACAACGTATCCATGGTTATTGGTTAAAAATAATCATTACTTTACGATAGGCAACTCAGAATCATAACCATTAAGCCTTTTACAACCTGTGGCTATAGATTCACATAATCCAACCTAAAAAAAACAAAACAGTCACTTGCTATAAATTCCATTCGTTCTAGCTCAGCTGCTTTAGTGACACAACCCAGGGTAGTCCAACAGGGACAAGAGCCGGCGGTTAGGAGGATGCAGTGCGGTGAGTGGAAATAATGACGTCTGTCAGGGTCCCGACCCAACTATCCAGTGCCTTGGGACGTCCTCCTGACGTGAAAGGCGCTCTATAAATGCAATCTTGTTATTGTCAGAAAGCCGCTCCCGAGCCAAGGGAAAGCCAAGCACTTAACCAATCCCATCCTCCCAACCGCCGGCTCCCGCCACTACAACGAGAAGACGGTTCACTGGGCGGGAGAGACCAGGTGGCTCGAGGTTGGAAATGATCTGGGGTTGGATAAAATCACCCGCCAGGCCGGGTGATTGACAGAGCGGAGGAGAGGGAGTGATTGAGAGAGTGCGCGCGCGTGAGGGAGATGGGGTGGCAGAGAAGGGGGGGAAGAAACACAGAGAGGGAGGAAGATAGAGAGTGAGAGAACAGAAAGAGAGTGAGAGTGCAGGAGTAGGGAATTCTTATTATGAATCTATTATTGCAACAGGATATACAATTCAATTCAAACAATCTGTCTAATTTAGTCAAGGCCAATTGGAACTTATAAGCGCATGCACATTAGAGCTTTCTAAATTAGGTGGTTTTATAGAAAAATAGCCAGTTTTTGGGCAGCATCGAAAAGCCAGATTAGAAGTTATTTCAAAAGACTGCATATTGGATCGCAATAATAATGTTTCCAATTATGGCTGTAAGAAAACCTCAGGCCGTGATTTTATTGCAGAAAATGCAACTTTTTGCAGTTGCTGCAAATTTTAATGATAACAGTGAAATGGACCACCCACCTGTCTATCAACCCATCTCAATGGAGCTTCAACTGGACATGATAAAAGCATGGAGCGAGTGGGTGTCTTAATGGTGATCTGTCCATTGGCTTAAGATAATTCCAAAATAAAATGACAGGAATTCAATATTTGAGGTCATTTTCCCTTAGAATCATACATACCTTGGAAGATAGTGAAACAGAAAGAGAACATACCTTTCCTTCTTAGTTTCATTCCTACTACTACACAAAAAGTCTCCAAATTCCACAGCCAGCAGCCAGTTGGAAATAGACCTTTAAACAGACCATAACAGAAACATTTGGAATTTGTACGACACAGTCAAAACATTTATTTGTCAGTTTATTCGATTGCCTTATAAAATCCAGAAGGAAAACATTGGTGGCAGCAATAGACTGATACCAGATGAGCATTCCCCCCTCCCATCCCGTGAACTAAATACAGCTGCTCAGATAGTTTCCCATCTTTTCCTCATGACATAGGTCAGTAAAGATGACCATCAATTGAACATAATGGATTTTCAGAATTCTTTGCTACAGGTAAAATATACTTTAGTAGTATTTTCGTCTTGATGGCTATGGGGAGAATTTTATTTAAAACACGTCTAAGCCTTTTATTTAGCTGTACTCGTTAAGAGATAATATCATGGGAGTAGAAAAAAGGGACATGGACATCTGTAAGATAGAAACAGAATCTGTGTGGATAGTGATAAAAGATAAAAGGGATCAAACACACAAATAGGGGTTTTCTACAGACCACCTAATAGTGGAAAGGAGATAGATGAAGAAATATGCAAACAAATTAGAGAAGTTAGTAAAAGATATAAGAGTAATAATCATGGGGGATTTCAACTACCCCCAAATAAATTGGTTAGAAGAGGTAGGTAAAGGGGATAAGGGAATGGAGTTCCTTCAATGTGTACAGGACTCATTTCTTACCCAGTATGTAAGAGGCCCAACAAGAGAGGAATCACTACTGGATTTAGTAATGGGAAATGAACCAGAACAGATAAGAGAAGTATGAGTAGGGGAATATCTGGGCAATAGCAATCATAACTTAATTAGGTTTAAGATAAAGATTGAGAAGGATACAAGTATGACAAAGACCAGAGTAATAGATTAGAACAAAGCTGATTTTGAGGATGAGACTGGAAGTTGGGAAAATAAACTGGAAAACAATATAGGCAAACAAAGAGATAGAGCAGCAGTGGGAAACATTTAAAAGTGACCAATAGAGTCCAGGAGAAATATATTCAGCTAAAAAGCAAGACAAAGCTAAACAATAATGAGACACTGTGGATGAATAAAGACATAAGGGCAAAGTTGAAACTCAGGACTCAGGAAAGAGGCGTTCACTGAGTACATAAACAACAAGGGAGAGCATGACAAAAAAGAATATGAAGAGGTCAAGAAACTAGTCAATAAATAATTAAGAAGGCAAAGAGGAACTATGAAATTAAATTATCAAGAAATATAAAACGTAACAGTAAAATATTCTACAGACATAAATAACAAAAGGAAAATCAAAATAGGAATAGGGCTACTAAGGGATGGACAAGATAAGTTCACAGGCCACGACAGCGAAATGGCAGAAATATTAAATAATTACTTTGCCTCAGTATTCCCCAGGGAGATGGATCAGGTGGACATGACAGTAGAAGAAGAGAGCAAAACTAATATAAATACATTTAAGATACAAAGGGGAAATAAAATCAAAAAACTAATGAAACTCAGAGACGATAAAACCCCTGGTCCAGATGGATTGCATCCACGTATATTAAAAGAATCGAGGGAAGAGATAGCAGAGGCACTATTACACATAAATAATAACTCATTAGAAAAGGCAGTAGTGCCAGAGGACTGGAGGATAGCTAATGTTACACCTATATTTAAAAAGGGAGATAGAACAAGCCCAGGGACCTATAGGCCTGTCAGCTTAACGTCGGTGGTAGGAAAGATAATGGAATCCTTACTGAAGGAGATAATAGAAAAACATCTAGAAATGGAAACCATAATAAAGAAGTCAGCACGGATTTCAAAAAGGAAGGTCATGCTTGAACAACCTCATTGAATTCTTTGAAGAGATAACAGATGCAGTTGATGTAATATATTTAGATTTCCAAAAGGGTTCGATAAGGTACCACATAATACACTAATTAATAAGGTCAAAGCATGTGGAGTCAGGGGCAAAATAGCAAAATGGATAGCAAGCTGGCTACAAAACAGGAAACAGAGAGTAGGGGTAAAGGGTAGCTAACTCAGACCGGTAGGGGATGGGCAGTGTTGTTCCACAAGGATCGGTATTGGGACCACTGTTGTTCACAATATACATTAATTATTTGAACTTGGGAATCAGCAGTACAATTTCAAAATTCGCGGACAACACCAAATTGGGAGGAGTAGTTAATACAGAGGAGGACTGCAACAAATTACAGCAAGACAATAAACTTGCTGAACAGGCATTTAAAAGGCAAATGCATTTCAATTTAGAAAAATGTAAGGTGGTACATTTTGGTAGAAGGAATAAGGAAGTCACATATATCCTGGAAAATAAAAATCTAAATGGGGAAGAGAAACAAAGGGACCTAGGGGTACATATGCACAATTCACTAAAAGTGGCAACGCAGGTTAATAATGTCATAATAAAGGCAAACCAGGCATTGGGGTTCATTTCTAGAGGGATAGAAATGAAAAGAAGGGAAGTTATGGTAAACCTATAGAATCAGGGTTAGACCCCACTTAGAATACTGTGCTCACATTATGGAAGGGATGTAGAGGCACTGGAGATGGTGCAAAAGAGATTCACAAGGATCATCCCAGAACTGAGAGGTTATATCTACCATGCTTGGACTCTTTTCTCTTGAAAAGAGGAGGGTAAGGGTTGACCCAATAGAGGTCTTTAAAATGCTGAAAGGTTTTGATAGGGCAGACACAGGGAAGATGTTTCCACTTGTGGGGGAGACCAAAACCAGGGGCCATCAATACAAGATAGTCACAAATAGATCAAATAGAGAAGTTAGAAGAAATGTATTTACACAGAGAGTAGTGGGAATGTGGAACATGCTACCACAAGGAGTTGCTGAGGCAAATAGCATGGATGTATTTAAGGTGAAGCCAGATAGGTACATGAGGGAGAAAGGAATAGAAGGATATACCTAAATGCTTAGTTGAGGAAGGGCAGGAGGAGGCTCACGTGGAGCATAAACACCGGCATAGACCAGTTGGACCGAATGGCCTGTATCTGTGCTGTATATTCTAATGTATTTACCTTTAACCTAAAGAAATCTGAAAATGACTCAGTAGTGCAACAGTATGAATTTTCCATTTACTGCACCCATCATATCTAACTCCTCCCTGACTTTGCTAATTTGTGCCAATTTGGGGGAAGTTTTGTATTATTAGATTGAAACAATTGAAATTCACTTCACTTGGATATCTATAGCCAAAGAGGAATGTGATAGATGTATTTAAGATTTTGAAGAGGCCTGACAAGGTAAATTAGGAAAACTATTTCCTTTAGTTGAGGAATCGGTGACAAAGGTCAGAGTATCAGGATTATTAGCAGAAGAATCAGGGAAGATAAGAAATATTTTTTTTATTCGAGAGGTTTGTTAGGGTGTGGAATTCATGACCACAAGAGGCAATTGAAGCTGGATCGATACAATTGTTCAAAACCAGCCTAACCATCTAAACAGTAAAACCATTAGGAGATATCAGAAAAAGCTGGAAAATATATTAGTAATAAAAGGTGACCTAGAAAAAAATCAGTAGCAGTGGCAGAGACACGTGTACCAAATGGTTTCTGTACTGACAATTTCTATGTAAATGCATTCAATTTTATTTAGCTTGTACATAAATGCATTCAGTTCTAGCGCAATGCTATTACGTATGATACTCTGCAGTGGCCTCACCTTGATAGGTCTGTTGGTCTTCTCATAATGTAGATTCTAGAGGACATCCCTGTGTGCATTGTGAATACAATATACTGTAGATTTGAAGACTTATCATTCCAGCTAAAAAGAAAATAGATGACAGGTTTATGTTTGATAGAAAGGTAAGCTCCAAAGCCACAGAACATGTCATATTTAATTCTATACACGTTGAACAACAATGAAGATTTCAAAGCTAAAATGTACCAGGGAAACTTACAATGACGGTAATGCAAATCTAGGTACTGTACCCTCACTGAAATGGAACAGAAACACAAGTTAATAATATACTGTGAGATTCAACCATTTTGAGACCGACCAGAGACGACAATAGTATTTTCTGGTCTTGTACTTTCCTAAGTAAGAAATACTAGAAAGTCCTACTTTAACACATGCCAGTGTGCCAGTTTGAAGAGCTTTCTTTTAATTTCAAACAAGGGTCACATTTCCAAAACTTCATTTGGCATATTCTTAGTCCATATAAATCTAAAAGAATACAGACAAGTACCTTGGATATAACCTGTAGAGAGGCATATAGACAACTTGACTAACAGATTTTCCAATGACTTCCTGCAAAATAAAAAAGGACATAAATCAAATGAAAAAAAAACGAATTTGGCTATTGTTTCATTGTAAAGAGTGTGGGCATTATGTTCAAATACTCACAGACGGTTTTTGTAGGCAAATGTCAATCTGTTCTTGCACTCGTCTTTTAACATAATGTAATGACTTCTTGGGATGGTAAGGAAACAACAAAGGGCTTTCTGCAAGTAAACATTAAAAAAATAATAGTTGCATACAGTTAATGTAATGGCATCTAAAATTATTCCGGTTTGCCACAAAAAACAGTACAGTACTGAGGAATTTAAAAACCTAAAGGAGCTTCAGGGAACCGAAAAAGAGAATGATTAGGAATAGTAATAATTTTAAACATTATTTCTTGGATTATTTTTAACACAAGGAACATAACAGCATAACAACATAACATAACATAACAACATAACAATATCCAACAAGTACCATATAAGTTCTGGGACTTTGACATTAGTGAGTCAGAGCTTCTAGAAAATCACATGGAGAGGTAAACAAATAAATCTTCCAGGACAGAAGAGCAATACAAAGGGTATAAGGTAGAGATTTATGAAACACAGGTGATCATTTTGAGAGACATAATAAACAATGTGGAAGACTATTGAAGGCTAGAAACAAGCAAATGTGATTCCTATATCCGAGAACAGTAACAGAGTTAACTAACCATAAGTTCAGTATAACTTAGAAAAGGGAAATATTATCCACTTGTATATTAATAAATTCAGAATTACTGCCTTGTTGCCCTTGAAGAAATCTTTTTTTTCCACTAGTTCATAGTTACTTTGGTTTAGTTAGACAACTGAAGTAGCATAATTGACTTATGAAAAGCAGACTGTAAACGGTCGATAAGTACACTAAATTTGTCCTTATAGAATTCTATATTTGTTACATTATCGTTTAAGACCATACATGAATATTTTCTGCCTTTATGAATCGAAGTAAAGTGTAGGATATCTGTCCAAGTTAATTGCATACCTCCCCCATTACAACCATACAAAATATATTGTTTGACACTTGTACTGATCTAAGGTGTACATATTCTGAGTTCAAATCAGCAAAATCTATTCCTATGATTCAGTGGAATCAATTTAATTTCCACCAATGTAAAGTGGGTGTGAAGAGCAGTGAATTAATTTGTTTTTGATTGCCTTGAAGTCTCAAATGAAGCAGCTCAGGCAAAAGTTTCATATCATTTGCGCATAAGCCATAATAATAACTATCCAAAGTAACATTCCTAATAAAGATAAATTGTGACTTAGTACTTGTGAAAAAAAACAAGTTATGTCTGCACAGTCTTTACAAAATGGTCAGAGCTATTCTAACATCACCAAAAAATTCAAGCGTTAATCCCTTGTCTACTGATGAATGAATGCAATTGTGTTTTAAGTGAGATTCTATGCCAAATTTAAACGTAGTAGAATAAGCAAGAAAAACAATAGACTTATTTCCCTATCAAATCAAATATACTGCCAAATAAATCATCTGAAACTAAAAGCACTATAACTAAAAAGAACCTTCCATAAGGCTAACTATGAGCAACCCACAGATTAAATTATGTGTCAAATATAAATCTCACCTTTAAGATGGATACTGTTCTGTAAGAAAGAAAACCAAGGGTTTCCTTCCGTCTCTGGAGGAGTTACCAGATCATCATCTTCATCTTTTAAATACTGTGAACATATTTATATAAAAACTATGTCAAGTTAAATGTCAATTTAACACATCAATACTGTACTTTTTGGGGAGGGGAAAAAGAAGTGAATATTTAAGATTTTTTGATTTTTAGTAATTATTCATCATATGAATATGCGCAATTGGCTGCTGAGTTTCCCCCACCAAATGTACAGACAATTCACTTTACAGTATATTCTATGAAGTGCTTTGAGACATCTCGAAGAGTTAATAAGGCGCTATTTCAAATGCAAGGATTATTATCATAGGCCAGTTACAAATCAGAACACAAAGAGCTATCCTTACATCACCAAAAAATTCAAGCGTTAATTCCTTGTCTACTGATGAACGATTGCAATTGTGTTTTAAATGAGATTCTGTGCCAGATTTAAACGTTGTACAATAAGCAAGGAAAGCTATAGACTTATTTCCCTATGTTTAATCAAGTATACTGCCAAATAAATCATCTGAAACTAAAAGCACTTTGTGTTCACATGGAAATGAAAACCAGTAAATATAATTATTGACAGTGCAAAGAAATCCGTAAACAAATTGAAAAATTAAACAGTATACCTGGCCGACTCTCTCCACGTTAAAGTACTGCCCCTTTTGATCATAAAGTTCTGGTGCCTGCAAGGAATAACCAAAATGAAAAGGAAAATAGATGGAAACAACTAAAATTCAATACATTTACCTCCTACGTCTTGGTAAAATATTTTAAATCAACTACAGTATGTACACCTTTCATTTAAATAGCTCTTTTGTCCACATAAAAAAATTCCCTCTCTTCACATAAAATTATGAAACAAAATCAATACCCCAATTGCTGTAATATATCCAAACAATTTCAAATGCACTTTTATCATCCAGAAATGTGGCAAGAAAGGTAAAAGTTCATTCACGAGGCTGAGCTTTGTACTGCTAACCCTGGCAATATGCTAATTCCAAAGCTATGCATCACATTACATGAGAATATCGTTGAACATGTTATACCACGACAGACAAAAACAAAGACATACAAAAAGATTTGCCTAAGTATGAAGACAACAGCCAAGACTTGCTAACATTACAAAGGGTCCAGTTAAACATAAAGTCTTATGTACAATGAAGTAACATCGCATGCCAGAATGGCATGGTTTAAGAGTACAAATTTCCTAAAGTGTTTTTAGTTTGATTCCTTTGCATTCCCATGACTGCAATCTACACGTGCAATTGACAACTGAATAAGTGGAGTCCTGTAACTCAGTGGTTAGAGCACTCGCCTTGCAAGCGAAACACCTGGGTTCAATTCCAGGCAGGGCGAAACCTTGGGCAAGTTTCCTTACTCCACACGCCTAATAATAATCCCTCCAAAACAAAACAATAATAAATTGGTCATTTTCAATCCACAACTGTTTTTGGGACACTGCTGTGCGCAATTGGCTGCTGCGTTTCGCCCACAAATATTCGGTCAATTCACTTTACAGTCTATTCTGTGAAGCACTTTAGAGACGTCGAGAAGACGTGAAAAGCGCTATATCAAATGCAAGGATTATTATTATTATTAGTGAATCATAATGAAAAACTTACCTCTTTAAAATGCTCAGATAGGAAGTCAGCAACAAAAGCCACGTCTCTGTGTGTCATCTGTGTGTTTTAGGAAAAAAAGCCATGGGTTGATGTGTATAATAGGCATTCCAGGTTCGATCCATTTAAACAACTACCACTTTGGCTGCTAATTCATTTTGCATTTTTAAATCCATGATTTTGATTAACTACAATTAACCCAATTGAGTCACAATGACACTCAATCCTGAATCAAAACATCTGCATTCTAGAGAAGTAAGATTATGGGTAAGATTCACCAGTAGCATCTCTTTGACAACTGATTTCAGTCGGTTTCAGATTTATTTTGAGCAAGTTCCAGGTATTTAGATTTACTGACACATCAAATTACAAATTATTAAAACTAATATGCCTATTCCAAGTCTTTGCTGACCTCTCGATGGTGGGATTGAGTGCACTGAGCCACGTCAGTCTTGAGTGGAGTGGAATCAGAATCAGCTCAAATCAATTGCCTGCCAGGACCGACTTTGTTTGTAGAAGAACAACAACTTGCACTTATATAGCGCCCTTCACGCAGGGTAGGGTCTCAGAGCGCTTTGGTACAGAGTGGTACAGAGTGTGGTAGGCAGAAACAACTATTTATTTACCTGGATGCTGGATCTTTAACCTTTGGAGCAAGACATGGTAGGTACAACCAAAATTTTTAAGCACATTCTTCGTGCCATGTTTTGATCATGGCTGTCAAGAGCTGGTAGGCACTAGTGCAATTCTAGCGTTGCTCAAATTCTGTATGAGCAGATATTATCGAATGCATGACCTCTGGTCATCTTTCCTCCCCTGTATTCCAGGAAACTGCTGATGACACCTGTCAGGCTCATCGGCAGGAGATGGAAGGGCAGACCCATCACTGGGTCAATCCAATTTACAATATATCCTGTGAAGCGCTTTGAATATATCATTGTGGAAGTCTCAACAATGTAATAAGCCCCTACATCAACTACAAGGATTATTATATTATTACCTAACTGGTGTTACAAACTATATAAAGTGAGCAATTTATATTTACCTTATTGAGTTCTGGCAAAACGTGATCATCAGACATCCTCAACATTGCTGAAAAATAAATGTTATTACTTGATCTTTTTAGGGATAATATCAACATACAAGAAAAACAATGGATGAGATGAGTTTCTTTACCTGCGTAGAGCCATCGAAAAAAAGCTTTGAAGTTTTTCATACTATTGTCTATAACTCTGAAAAAAAGGAAGCCTTGTTAAATAGCAAAGGTTATAATTAGCTATTTTAATTGCTATATTACAGGTTACATTAAAATTACTCTAATTTTAAAACACGGTTCATCTATAAATGCAGTCACTATACTTTACAGTAAATTCTATGAAACACTTGACAGTGAAAGGCATTATACCAAATGTAAAGATTATTTATTTCCAACATCATTGTAACTTAATATCAACCATTATTTCTTGGCTTCATATCAATAGCTTCTGTAAATAAATCAAAATCTCTTGAAATCAGTATACATTCAGTACTGTCAGAGAAATGTGTTTGAAACTCTTCTGTTATTCTTGGGTTGACTAAACGTATTGCTAGAATCTGTCCAACTAAAATTGATTATTTCTTGTTGAAATTAACAAACATCTGAAATGCTAATTAAAAAATGAGCTAACAGCTTGCCAGGCAGCAATATCTACAGCAAACTATGCGGTTTCAGCTGGTTAAACTCCAGCAGTACCCCAACACACACTCTGGGGTCCCCAAGCCTTGGCTCTTGCCAACCTGAACCTAATACTTTCCGGAATTAGGTAAACAGGATGAGTCCCTCCAGGGAGAGAGTGGCACTCCATTCCAACAATCTATCACTGGGATTTCCACGTGTAGGTGGGATGCATGGAAATCTCAGCTTGGGTAGGATACTCTTAAACATGGTGATGGGTTTCCACATGTGTCAGACACCGACCGGGCTGACCAAATAATAATACTTAAAAGTAAATTACTCGGTTACATTGTGTGTCATGAGCATAGTGGCAATTTCACACACACACTAGGTACAGTTGTTTTAGGGTGGGATCTAGGGAAGAAAAAGGATGTTGAATAATGAACTTTCAGATTAGCAGCTCACTGATAACTGAGATTTCACTCAAAATTATTTTTGTACTTACTGTAAGAGTTCATTTGCTTTTAGTATAAATCCTCCCACAGCATTTATGGCATCTTGGAAAGAAAAATGGATTAAGTAAAACACTCAAAAAATTAAATAGCAAAACAATTTGGGGATTAAAATTATACCTGGGACAGATTTAATCCATTAATATAGCATTTCAGAGTGTGCAGAATTTGGGAAAATGTTCACTTCGTGGCTAACTGTGGAACATTGCTGTGTACAAAGCGGCAGCTGTATTCATTCATTCACTACATTTTACAGTAAAATCAGGAAGCTCTTTTAAGGCTGACAACAATGTCATAAGGCGCTATATTATATACAAGGATTATTATAATTCAGTTTTAACTTTGAATTTTTTTTGTCGTTCTTAAAAGAGCTTATAAAAATTGGCTTCAAAATTAAAGACTGTATTTAAGAAAATGACACATTCACAATGCTCTGAATTGTTGCATAAATAGAGTGAATCTAAACCCAGGTGGAATTTCTACCTAGTTATTTTGGTAGAGTCGATTATTGGAGCACAAATATGTTACATCAAGGAAGCACAGGGCACAAGGATTATAACGTTGGTTGCTTAAATAATATCACTATTAAATTGAGTGGTGGGAACTATAGTTAAAACAGCAAGTAACCCAGGCTCTACTTTGTGGTCATAATTACACGATATAACACAAATGTTCACAATGTACCACTGACAGAAAAGTAAAATTCAATAGCATTGGTTAAATCCTAGCTTTTGTGTTCGACAAGCAAACTATTATTAAAAATAATGAATGGTAAAAATAGTATAATTCTACAATTTTTAAAAAAAGGTTTACAATGAGACGCAATAATGTAAAAGTAAAGACTCCCATGATTATTCAATACTTCATCAGAATGTTTACTGGCAAATAAAAAAGTCCTTTCTGAAAAAAAATCACAAACATTGAATATCTAAAGATTTAAAAAGCTTAAAGCAACAGTACCTTCTATTGCTGATACATCCAATCCTAAAGGTTGGTATTTCTGTTTCCACATTGCCATTCCTTTTAACTCGCTTAAATGATACAGAAGAGCTTCTGAGCCACTGTAAAATAAAATACTGAAACAAATGAAATACTCGCAGGAATATGTGCAAAACAGAAAGAGAGAGAACAAAAAAGGCTGAAATCAGTTCCATGAGTCATCAAGTCTCTATAATCCAAAGACAAACATATACTACAATAGGCAAACAAATGGTGCACTAATTTTCTAATATTTTACCTCACCTAGAATCTTTCAACAACTTCAATTTTGCATATTGGGTTGACTTATTCCAGGGATGTTAATCAAACGTTCTGTGGATCTGACCCCACCCATGTGACAAGTAGAACAAAAATACCTGCTGACCCAAGGTTGAAATTGAAGAGAAAAAAATGACAGAAAGAGAGAGAAAAGGTGGCTCCACTGGCTCCCCATCCCCCAGAGAATTAAATTCAAGATCTTTGTCCTCACTTTCAAGGCCATCCATGGCCTCGCCCCCTCCTACCTCTCTGACCTGCTGACTCCCTACCAACCTGCCCGCTCCTTCCATTTAGTGGGCTCCGGTCTGCTCCATGTGTCCCGCCCGACACTCCCTACCATCGGTGGCCGGGCTTTCAGCCTCTCTGCCCCCACACTCTGGAACTCCATCCCACACTTCCTCGCCTCGCTTCCTCCCTCGCATCCTTCAAAGACGGTCTCAAGACCCTCCTCTTCAATTGTGCCTTCACTCGCCCTCCCACCTCTGCCTTCCCTCACCCCTACACCACCCCTCCCCCATGCTCGGGTCCCGACAACTGACTGTTCAGCGTTTTGGGACGTCCTCCCGACATGAAAGGCGCTCTATAAATGTTATTTTGTTGTTGTCTGAGAAATAGTGTCAGACAGAGAGAGAGGAAGAGCAGAGTATTACAGTGATAGTGAACAACTTTTACTCAGCAAGGTGGCCAATTTCTAGTTTGCATGCCACCCAATTATCTGCATGTTTGCTTGTCTGCAGTGTGTCCGCTGCAGATAATCAGAATGATGTGGACTGTAGGCTGATGGTACCTGGCAGCCCAGGAATAACTTAGTTGTTTGGGTCTATAAACTCAAAACCTGTTTATAAGGAAGCACGCAGAAAGGCTCCCACATTGCCAGCTACTGCTGTCACTTCCTGTATGTTGCAAAGTGATGTTAGCAGCGATTCCAGTGACACCAGGAGTGGTCATTTTCAGAAAATGTTTCAGCAGTGGACAATCTTTACAGAAAGCCAATCTATCTGGCCCTGTAATTCATGCTTCTCTGCTCTAGGCCCTTAAAGCTAAATTGAGTTTGACGCTCCATTAAGACATTCAATGTACATATTTTTAGGAAACCATTGCTTCTTCCAACATAATATCTCAATTACTGGAGAGAGCATCGATTTGTATTTAACAAGCTCATTAATATAAGTCACACCACCCAAAGATAGTTGCAAACATTAGTTTGACTCAAACCACATGAAATGACGTGCAACCTTCTGCCACATGTGCCTCTTTCAGTTAAAAATATTATTTTGTGGGCTTAATTGATCCCTGGACTATACGTGTATGTCACTATTCTATTAGACATGATGAATAGTTACCCATGTTTAATAGTTAGCTTTTTTGCATTGTTACTGTGAACTGGTACTTTCTGTGGAATGCCTCATTTTTTTCCTGTTCACTCCTGGGGGATAATTGTTAAGTGCCAATTTGCTAAATATATCAAGTGGACATGGTATTTTCTGTTCCATTCCAGAATGATTTATTTATTTTCTTATTGGTGCCCATTTTAACAGGTATAATATTCAGCCATCTTTTAGGACTGACACACATATTTTCTTTTTGTACAGATTGCCAAAAGAAGTCATTCAAAATATTTTCTTGAGAAACTATTCTCAGACGTTAAACTCTAGATCAACCCATATACCACATGTCACGTAGCATTATAATCAAGAGATTAATCTTACCAAATCACATCATAAACACATTCAGTTCCACTGGTCTATTTTAAATAAAAAGTGACCATTACTCACCTTTGTAAATGACTAATGACCAGTTTCTGAATAGTGGAATAGGACGATTCTATGGACTGGCCCAGTTTCTTTAGACCCTGTCAATTGTGAACAAACAAAATGTCTTTAATCAACACTGCAAACATTTAGAGATCACTATTTAGGAATTACAGCAAAGAAATGAAACTGTTGTCACTGCTATTTGTATTGATATACTCAAAATCAGTAGAAGATTCTCTTGAGAGCATTTCAGCACATTCTATATTGATATATTTTGACTTACCTTAACTGTTAACTGGTTCATCAACAAAGACTGGAGCTCTGGACTGTAAAAAGAAACACAGTGGTTACAACAGGCAAATACTGATTACCTGCCCAGATCTTTGTACTGTGTTACTTCATATCAATACAATCTGCTCAATTGCATCTAGATAATTCAATTTCACAATGGAAGCTCATCGGTACTTTTGCAATGGTCTCTTCTAGGTCCTTTTTAGTATAAGTATAATATGCTTCAATCACATGTATGGAGACTGTAGACACTGAGTTAATTCATGAAGACACCAACTTGCTGACGTAAACATACTTTAATGAACCAAACCTCCATGTAGAGAAATAATGAAACATTTATCCAATCACATGCTTCATCATGATTCTGTTCCTTGTGCATCCAAGTACAACATTAATGTGACTAACAATCAAATTACACTGAACATTTAGTTTTACCTCATTATGAATGTATAACATCCTTGAAGTAATTTAGCTGGCCACACGTACCTTGCTTTACCCCACATTAGTAGTTGCATGAATTCTTCTTGCACTGAAGTTTTTGTATTTTTTTCCTAAAATAAAGATGATAAAATTTAAAATTATATATTTTCCATTTGCAACACACAATTTAATACCAGTGATAATTGTTTTCCTCCTGGGAAAAAAATCCTCAATTCTCAACTCTTTTTAATGGAATTGGTGTGTACGACATGATTACAAAGCAAACCAAATAAAATGTTCAACTACAGTAGAATGCTGTATCCACATGCTGAATACCTGTGTAAGTAAAGTCAGGCTGCAATGTCTGAAACTATGTTCAAATTTGTGCACATGAGGTATCCAGGATAGCAATTTAATGGAGTGACATGAACTGGCGAGTCAAAGTGGAAAGATTCTACTAAAGGACAAGATAAGACAGACAGGTACACAGAGAAAGTTAGAGAAGCACAAACACTCACACACACATACAAACCCAGAGATCCATTATCTTCATGATTTCATATCCATAATGGGACCAGTCTATATTAGTGAGGATGTAGGACTCTCTAATGAATTAATGCCCAAGCATTTCAAATCTTAGTAATAGGGAGAATGCTGGGCATGAGCAAGGCTATTGAAAACAATTAGGTTGACTATAATGAAGGTTAACAATTTCTTCTTCATAAGAATATAACAAAGCAACCAACAAAATAGAGAGGATTTGATGTTAAAGTCTGTCTTAAGGACTAATATATCATCAAGGATGTTACATGTTCCATAAAGATTAAATGACATGGCTGTGACAGCAAGAGGAGTCTAGAACAACAGTCCGTGAGGAATTCACATCTTGGGTGGATGAAATTTCTTGCAGTGCTTTATAATATTTTAAAGATTGAGATCTTATGGTAATACATGAATTAATTATGTCATTATCTAAAGTTTCATTGCTATATGAAATGAACAACTGGAGTGTTGTAGCTCAGTGAGTTAGAGTACTCGCTTTGCAAGCAAGACACCTGGGTTCGATTCCCGGCAGGGTGAAACCTTGGGCAAGTTTCCTTACTCCACACGCCTAATAATAATCCCTCAAGAAAAAAAAACAGTAATAAATTGGTTACTTCAATCCACGACTGTTTGTGGGACACTGCTGTGTGCAATTGGTTGCCGCATTTCGCCCACAATTATCCAGTGAATTCACTTTACAGTGAAGCGCTTTGAGACGTCTAGAAGACGTGAAAAGCGCTATATCAAATGCAAGGATTGTTATTATTATTAACTGTCCAGATGTTGACAGATTGTTCCAATTGGTTTAGTGTACCAGGTTTATACACACACACCAGAGAAATAAAGGTTGGATTTTCAAGAAATTAAATAATCTCAAGAAAATAGAAATATGAGAATTTTAAATGACATCCAAATGTCAAATACATTATGAAGGTCTATTTGGAGATCCTATATCTAACTGATGATTACTAAAATCGCTAGTATGCAACATTTTTAATTATAAAGTTATGATTCTCAAAAAGACCATAAGTATAAGTAAGTTAAAAGTACAAAACTAAGATCCCATCACAGTGCTGTATGTTAAGATATAATTTAACAGACATTTTGCCAGCTCTCTTGCACAAATCTCAATGACAGAGTTGTTTAATAGAATTTTAGCTTAGAAGGGATGATTAAAAGTAAGATTTATCACTAAACAAATGGAGCTCGGTTTGAGTTCAAGGTGAAACAAAATGTAAATACAATTGGACTTCTGCAAGGCCAAGACTTTTTGGAAGCATTACGGCCCTTTCAGTAACTAAAGCACCTGTTGACCTTTCCTAAAAAACATTTTGCCATAATTAAAGACTGTTCTTGGACAGTGAACTCAACAGGTGAGTCAAAGTTAGAAGCTTAGGAATTCACAACTGCAATAAAAATGGAATATGTAATCATGCGTGTTAGTTAATGGGTAGACTTCAAGATCCTCACTCTCGTGTTCATATCCATCCACTCACTGCTACCTCCCTACCTCTCCGACCTCCTCACTCCCCAATCCAGCACTCGGTGCCTCCGCTCGACTGGCACCAGCCTCCTGCTCATCCTTCGCACCCTCCGCCCCACCATCAGAGGTCGAGTTTTCGGCCTCTGGAACTCTGGATCGCTCTCCCTTAATCCTTTGCCCCCGCCTTGCCCCCTCTCTCCCCTCTTGGCCGCCTTGCCTCCCCTCTCCCCTCTTTCAACTCCTGCCTGAAAACCTTCCTCTTCGACTGTGCTTACGGTCACCTCCCCCACTCCCCCCGGCTTGGAGTCAGGCTTTGCCACTGTTCAGTGCTCAGTTCAAATACAATACATTCTGTTGCTTGATAGATCGGTATTGTATTTATTTAGTTTTTTTTAAAAGGTATAAACATGCCTATATTACATGGTCATTTTGTATCATGTAATATAGGCATGTTTATGCCTTTTAAAATGTATATAGCTCTCATGTCAGGAGAACATCTCAAAGCGCTTAACAATGTTGGATAGGCACTAGAGAGGGGGAGGCTGCTGAGTGGGGTGTGGAGAGGAAAGATGTGGTCGAAGAGGCATGATTTGAAACATGTTTTGAAAGAGAGGGAAAGGGCAAAAGCGGACAAATGTTCATCAGAATGTGGATAAGGGAAATTAGTTAAGTTGAGTGAATTTAGGAATTATTCTCTTTTTCTTTGCCCAACCAGGTGTCTGACGCATGCAGAAACCCATCACCGTGCTTAAGAGTATCCAAACCAAACTGAGATTTCCATGCATCCCACCTACATATGAAAACCCAGGTCCTGCCAATGAGCCCAGGCTGTCTGTGCTGTCATCAGCAGTGCCCTAGAATACTGTGGACCATCCTGGCTCAGGAACCGGACTACTGAGACCACCGAGGGCTGGCTTGATTCTGACATTCCATTGCCAGGCATGTCACCTTGGAGCCAGTTCAGCTCCAAAGAGAGATCATTTACTCCCCACCAAGGAGGATAGTCACTAGTTGGTTGCTCGACATCTGACAAGCGTGGGTTCGGCTATCACTAGGTGGATAGTAGGTAACAAGAACTCCCTGCGAGTTTTCCGGTAGGCGACACATCTCAGCATGAAATAGGTGAGAGCATTGCCACCATCTTCCTGTCCGCAGTTCTTAGCCAGCATCTCACAAGCACTAACAGGGTATCTTTGAATTAATTTCACATACTGCATAAAGCTCACAAGCAGAAAATGGGTCCTCTTGTCATATCATTTTACAACAAGTGGACCCAACCACAAAACTAGTAAAGCTTGAAGTGCATTACCTCAATTAGTTGTTTTACACCCAAGACCATAAAATGACCATGTAATATAGGTATGATTATGCCTTTTAAAAAAAACTAAATAAATGCAGTACCTATCTATCAAGTAACAGAACAATTGTACGCAATTATCGTGCATGGGACAGCCAAAGTGACTACATAAAATTTATTGCAATCTTTGCCCCCGGAAAAGCAATCGGCCGATCGACTAACAGATGGGTTCCTTCTTACTGCAAGGTGAACAGAGCAGTGTGCTGTAAGGAAACTTGCCTAAGATTTTACCCTGCCCAGTAATTGAACCCGGGACCTCTCGCTTGCGAGGTGAGTGCTCTAACCAATACGTTACAAGACTCCACAAAAATACATTTACCCAGAATATATTTGCAATCAGCACCAACCTGTACAAACGTAGTCAGTCTTAGATCCATCTGCATTAAAATATCCTCCCATGCTTCACACATACAAGCCAAAGACAGCTTTTGGTACTGCGAATAAAACAAAATGTATCAATATGAGCAATTTTCACCATAATAAAATGGTATACTGATAATGTCCAATATCATTGAAATTCTATCCCAATATCCTTTGCCTGACTGCTTCTCTTCTCAACTTCAAAATCTTTCTAAACCATGTCTCTCTGATCACACCTTTGATCAACATCCTCATTTGTCAAACACTTAAAGAGACATGCCTTCACCTGAAGGGCACCACATAAATGTGTTATTCTCAATTAAACTGCTGCTACAGTTAATCTTATGGAGTGACAAGGACTTAATTGTTCTATAAACCCTGCATTTACATTTGTTTCTTGGAACAAGATGGGTGATCTAGCCCAGGAACCATACCAAATTCCATCCGTTCCCCCAATAACCAGCTCTCTATGGTGTGATTTGACATTGATAAAACAGACTCTCTGTTGAGATGAACTACAGGCACAAAGCAGGCATAAAGAGTTTCAGTACAGCACAGGTCCATTTAGAGCCAGGGTGTACCACGGACCCACAACAGTACAGCAGCGGGGTCCATGGTACAGTGCTGACTGGTTGGCTTCCTGTGCATAGAGGCCTCCTGGTGACTTGTAATTTCCCAGCAATTGCTGGAAATGCTCTCGAGAGTGTTTTCAGCTTCCTACACACAGGAAGTTACAACAGCAGCGACCTAACGATCCGGAATTGCTGACTGGTGGCCATTTTTATAGTACACTCCGTTCTAACACGATGTCTAATTTGTAGCCCACAAAGCACCATTTTAAAACAGGGTGCAACTGGGTGCCAGCGCCTTGGGACATCCTCCCAACGTGAAAGGCGCTATACTAATGTAATTTTGTATTGTATTTCTTTAGCATTTACTGCAACTTGGCTTGAAAGATTATTTTGGCAGATACTTCAGCCATTCACAGTTTTAGTAAACAGATCAAAGTTTTGACTTGTTTCAAGTGTGACATCAAGTTTTCTGGCAGCTCCTTGAGATAATAATCTTTCAGTGAATCCAGCAGAGCAACTGCTACTTAATTCATCAATTAAGTTGTTTGCTAAATAGAATCATATTTCCCAGCAAACAAAACATTTTTTTTAACAAAGATAAATTATTTTCATTTCTTAATACAAAAAATTAGATATCAATTTTTGAATATGTTTTGCACTCGAGACACTTTTAACTCACGGTGCAAATACAGTGCTTGCTAACATTTACCACAATACCTGGAGAAGTGTTGAAATATGAGTAAATTTTCGTGCCATTCGTGTTACTTCAGGTAAACAATTTGACAGCAAAGCAGTGTCCAACTGTGTAAGGCAAACAATTAAGTTATCATACAAAGAAACAGGACATTTGGTTTCACTTTTACAATTTGGGTTACGCACTTTTTTAATTCTGCAGAATATTCCTGATTGTGACAATGTGCATTTAACGACAGGTGGAATAAGGATGGATATTGACCCTAAAATTGTATTGGAACATTGAACAGCATTGTTGAATCTAAAGCAAAGCTCTAGAAACACTCATTAATTGGACATCTTCATTATTCTGGCACTGTAGGTGTAACATCCAGTCATTGCAAGATTATCATTAACATTCGACAATCTGTACATTAGAACAATTATATATGGTCAAGGCAGCCAGTTAAATACACATTTTCAACTAACATGAGAAATCTTACCTGAAAATAGGTGATGGTTGGCTCAGTTTCTGTGGAAAGTTGAATTTTTGTGATTACGCACAAAGATTTCAGGTCACTGGAAAAGCAGAGATCCAGACAGCAGCCTGCAACCTGGAAAATTGTAGACACCACATGATCTTTCCATTCAAAAAACAAGATATAACTGTTCTCTGAAAGAAAATTTAACCTGTTACGTGTCCATTTCGAATAGAACCATTTTCCCAATGAAGCCAAGACCTTGGAGGAAATAGCTGGTTAATGTAGTGAGCTGCTGCAATATTAAGTGTGGACATATTTTAATTACCTCACTTTAAAGTTAATCCAGACGTTGTATCATAATATATTTGGGCAACAAGATTTCTACAATAAACATATGCACAATAACTATCATTACCTGGGTCACTGTTGCAATCTTGTACATTCCATAGGCATATAATTCAATGAAACCAGAATCCCCCCCTAGAACAAGGGCATTCAGCCTGCCAGGAAGAAAACAGAAAACATTAAAATTAAATCCCGCTCTTATTATGGCATGAATAAGGTTATTTTGTATGTTTGTAGCAAATTTTAGGCATTGTTTCATCTAAAAAAAAGTCAGAGGAAATTGATTAAAAATATTTTGATTACATTCTGCTAGTCCAATCTAGGACTATCCTACCCACTTTGTCTTGCAGGATTATCAGGAGCTGAGTGAGAAGAATCCCTGCCACCAGTGATCAGTCCCACTGATGTGCGAGGTAGCTGTGCTGACGTAAGCGGTGCTCTGTAGTACTGTGGACTCGTCTGGCTCAGGAACTGGACCAACACACAGGGCTGGCTCGATTCTGACCTTCCATCGCTAAGCATGTCACATTGGAACTACTTCAGTTACACGGAGACCCCACTTAGCTCCCCACAAAGGAAATCATATTTGCTGAGTGAGGAAGAAAGGAAGCTTATACAGTACCTTTTATCACCTAAAAGCTTTGTGATCTCATCTGACTTTTCTTCACTAAACAAGAAAAAAAGGACGAATTGTCATTTAGTCAATTAACTCTGATTTTTAAACACTCTGAAGACTTATTGGATTCTGAACGTACCTGAAAATCTTTGCAGAAGTACTGTAACTGAGACAAAGGGAAAAAATTAAGATGCACATGAAAAACACCATAAAGCATCTCAATTCAAGTTTTATTAATATTTAACATATCACAATTATAATAATTACTTAAAATAATATAAACAATGGGAGAGGATGTTAATATGAATTTCAATTTGCATGATAAATAGGTTACAGGTGAATTAGAAGCAGCATCATACATATAGTGATAGCCATTTTATTAATTCTAATCCAGTTCTATATCACTGAAGCGCAGCAGGGCTGGTCTGTATACCACTGTATACATAGCAACTAGTCCTATAGTCCTATGTGATGTGGCACTGTGATATGATGAGGTGAGGTCATACTCATAACTTTACAAGTTAATTTTAAACATTTATAGATTCAGCAGATCATAGAACTACAAATAAAAAAGACACATTTGTTTTATGACTGAATATGTGACTGGCGGGTAGCTTTAGCTGCTGGGATTAAGAATTTTTTTTAAAAATACTGCCACTAAATGCAAAGAACCTTTCTTAGTTGGAATGAAATATGAACCACTGGCTATTCACAAAATATTTAAAATTAAAATACACCTGAGGCATTAAGCCAGATCATGACATTGAACACAAAAATTCATTCACAGTAACTGATGTATTTGACTTGTGAGATTTACTCCACTAATAAACAAGATCATAATGGTTATAAGTTGCAACAGCTCCAGTGAATTTAGAACTCATTTGATTCCCATTTTTTAAATTTAGTTTATACAATGTTTTTAATTTAGTTCATACAATGGGACACTGAATAATCATACATTTTAATAAGAATACTACTATGATTTTAGAAGTCTCAACTTTTTTTCACTTTACAAGCCAACTTCCCACTTTTTAAATTTTAACTTTATTTCTTCTTTGAAGTTTTGTTTAAATAATGTTTCTTTTTCTTATTTAATATTTAAATGCTAAACATTTTTTTCCTCCGAGTTGCCAAGTTCTTATCAATGTTGGAGCCAGGTACATTGGATCATTAGCAAAATATGGTCTCTTGATTACCCTTTGTAATGGCTTTCAGCAAACTGTCGAGCCCCAAAAAGGCCATAAAATTGAACTCTGAGCTGATTATATCATTAGGAGATCCAAGTTAAACTTATGACAGTTTTTGTGTCAACATCAGATGCCCCAATAGATGAAGGAGATAACCTTGAAGGCACACCACAATTAATTCACCTGATGTTTAGTTAACTGTGGATTACCAAGACTAAGAAAAAATGGTAGCTGCACACAAAGCTACTAAGAATTGAATATTAAACAGAAAATTTGGATACCTTTCAGCAACACCTTAGACTATTGAAGGTCTGCCTGGTTTTCCAGACTGTGGTTCCTCAATGCAAATCCCACATACAACAACAAAATTACATTTAAAGAGCGCCTTTCACGTCGGGAGGACATCCCAAAGCGCTGAACAGTCAGGTGTTGGGGCTCGAGCATAGGGGAGGGATGGTGTAGGTGTGAAGGAAGGCAGAGAGGTGGGAGGGATACCAAAGGCACGGTCGAAGGGAAGGGTCTTGAGACCGGCCTTGAAGGAGGCAAGGGAGGAAGCAAGGTGAAGAGACTGTGGGATGGAGTCCGAGTGTGGAGGCAAAAAGGCTGAAAGCCTGGCCGCCGATGGTAGGGTGGGTCGGACCGGAGACCTAGAGCAGGCCGGTGCCCGCTGAATGGAGGGAGCGGGCAGGTTGGTAGGGAGTCACAGGTCAGAGAGGTAGGAGGGGGCAAGGCCATCCGACAAGGATTTTCAACTCAATCTTCTGGGGGATGGGGAGCCAGTGGAGTTGGGTGAGGGTGGGAGTGATGGGGTCACGGAGCCTGGTGGGTGACAGTACACAAGCTGCAGAGTTTTGGATGATCTGCAGCTTGTGAAGGGAAGAGTTGGGAAGGCCAATGAGGAGGGAGTTAATCGAGCCTTGAGGTGACGAATGCATGGGTGAGGGTTTCGGCAGCCTGAGGGGTGAGGCAGTGGCGGAGTCTGGCAATGTTGTGGAAGTGGTGGTAGGCAGTACCGGTCATGGCGCGGATGTGGGGGAGAAAAGAAAGTTCAGGGTCAAACAAGATACCCAGGTTCCTGACTGGCTTAGTGAGGTTGAGTGTGCAGCCGTGGAGGCTGATACTGCCAGTGCGGAGGTGCGGAGACGCTGGTGTGAGCCAATCAGGAGAGCCTTGGTCTTGCTGATGTTGAGTTGGAGAAAGTTGGGCCTCGTCCAGGACTTGATGTCGGACAGGCAGGACACCAGTAGTCCTGGAGTTCAGGGTGGAGGCAGAGAGGTAGAGTTGGGTGTCATCCACATACATGTAGAAATTTACCCCATGTCTGCGGATGATGCCACCAAGGGGGAGCATGTAGAGAGGGTGAAGAGCAGGGGCCCGAGGACAGAGCCCTGAGGAATGCCGCACAAGATGGTGCGGGGGCTGAAGGAGAAGCCGTTTGCTGAGACGAAGTGGAGGCGGTGTGAAAGTTAGGACCTGAAGCAGTCAAGGACACAACTTTGAAGGTTGAGGTGGGAGGAGAGGTAGTGGAGGAGGATGAGTGGTCCACGTTGTCAAAGGCAGCGGAGAGGTCGAGGTGGACGAGGAGGTAGAGGGAGCCCTGGTCACTCATGGTCAGGATGTCATTTGTGACCGGGACCAGAGCAGTTTCCGTGCTGTGGGCAGCACAGAAACTCGATTGGAGGGGTTCATGGAGGGAGTGAGGGGAGAGGAAAGAACGAAGCTGGGCAGCAACGGCTCTCTCAAGTTCCTTGGATAGGAAGGGGAGATTTGAGATGGGCCGGTAGCAAGATAGCTGTGATACTTTGCTTGCAACCTTTTGGACTCCTATAATCCTTCAACATAATCATCATCAACTTCAAAGGACAAGGGAAAGGAGGACCTTCTGGTCCCAAATGCAAGAACAGGATGTTGGTTACCAATATCAGCTGCTTTATTCTCTGCTGATATTTATATCTTTGAAAGAGAATTATTATTCAGGTAACAGAAATGCAAAAAATGTCAAAAATAAAGTAATAAGTAATAATAATAATAATTCTTGCATTTGATCTAGCGCCTCATCACGTCGTTGAGACATCTCAAAGCACTTCACAGACAGCCAACTGCACACAGCAGTGTCCCATAAACACAAATAATTTGATTTAGTGACCAAATAATTATTTTTTTTTGGAGGGATTATTACCCCGGAAAAGCAATCCACCAACTGGGCTAATAAAAAAAGGCAAGTTAATTTCTGCATCTATCAATTTCTGGCCCTCGATTGCAATATAGAATCCTGACCTATACCTTAGTCTAAACTTGTAGCATTTCAAGATCACAGGAGTTAGAAAATTCTTAAATTAATCTTAATTTGGAGATCCTAAAAAAAACCTAAAGAAAACTAGATTATGCACACTTTGAATACTAAGAAAATAGAATAAATTCAGATCCAGAGGTAATTCTCCCCCAGATTTATTTACATGCCATGTTTACCTCAATAAATTTACCTCACACTTCAAGTTTCATCAATTTTCAACCATATTTTACTGGACTTACCTTTTTGGCAGTGCAGGTAATTTAGGCAAGAAAAGGCTTCCTTCTTCATCCACTGAATTAAATGATGAGGTTGCACTGAAAATTTGTAAAAACAGTATTAAAAACATTTTGCTTTATCGAGTACTGCATGTCCATTTTCGCCTCTTTACAGTGCGATTCTTTCAGGCATCTGTACTCTCTCCCACTATCTCTGACGGCTTGTTCGCAAATTCTCAATATTACTCTGCTCTGCAAACACCAGTGTCTCAAATTCAATCCACCCAACCCCAGAATTCCTATTAGCCATTCTGCCCTTGCTCTCTGGAACTCCACAGCAACACAGGAGCAGGCCATTCAATCGTGGCTGATCTGTAACTCAACTCAAATTACCCGCCCTTGCCCCATATCTCTTGAAACCCTTCCATAAAATTATCAGTCCCAGAATCCCTCCACTTAGCCCCCTCTCTTCCACCCTTCAACCCATTTTTTTTTACTGTGCATCTGGTCATATGCATATGTCACAAGGTTGGGATGCAAGTCTCATTTTGGAATTTTCTCTTCATATTCTCGGATGACACTCCAATACAGTGTTGAGGGACTGTTGCATCGTTGGAGGTAATGTTAAACCGAGATCCTGTCTGCCTGTTAAAGTGTACATCAATGATCCTGTGGCACTATTCAGAAACAGTAAAAGGAGTTTCTCCTGAAGTCCTGGGAAATAAACACCCAGAACAAACTGGTTATTCACTTCATGGCTGTTTCTTTCACACATTATTGTAAATGCAGCAGGTATGACATAGACGATTATGTTATAACAATACTTCTCCGTACCAACAATGGTAACTATCAGGCACATTGTTTTAATACCAACAATGAAAACATTAAGTGAAAATGCATGTGCATTTTTTTTTAAATACAGTTGGGCTAACCACTGGCCAATTCGCTGCATAACAATAGCACATCTGCAAAGGACCTTAAAAATGTACAGAATTAATTAATATCTTTGAGATCCATCTGAATAATAACCCGAGACTATGTCTCATGTCCATCAATCAACTTCTTCAAATTTCCCCCTAAATGTGCTACTACAAACTGCCTTCATCACCCCAATCAGTAATCTACTTCACAAGTGCAACTCTCGCTGTGTCTTTTGATCATCAGCCTGTGTCATTGTTGCTTATTATTTTGACCATGTAAATATACTATTAAGGTTCAATTCATCTATTAGATACCATTTGTATAATGAGGGTGATTCATCCAATAAATTGGAATGGAAGGGGTTGGGGAAGAGAGAAAATAACCCACTGATTCGCTTATGTTTTAACTCACATAAAATTTTTTACAACTGTAAATATTAGAGTGAACACAACGGTTATAAATCCTGCATTTCAGTGTACGGTTACCTTTGCTGATCTGTCACCTCGGTCCAGTGCATACAAGTCACAACATTTTCCAATGTAAAAAAATGCAGAATTTCTGCTTTTTCTACATCACACAGTACAATTCGTCGAGTATCTGCAAGACTAAAGGCCAAAACTGTTGGGGGGCAGAAAAAAAACAAATTATTACAATATGTTTTTATTATATAGTTTATACAATTTTTACTGTATACAATTTAAGAACCTTTGATTGGTAGGTCGTAGAAACTTTGAATTTTTACTCTACCTTTTCCATCAGGCCTCCACGCTAATGAGGTTACTTCTTTCCCTGTGTTTTCATTAGGAGCCAAACTCCACACACGCTGAAAGTGGGCAAGTCGGTGAAGCAAAACCTAAAAATTAAATAACATTTTCTTATCGTATTCCATTCTGGTATAAATAGTGGATGGCCCAGTTCTACAACTGACCCAACAATATTCACTTTATTTCTAATCAATTCTATGCTGTGTTTTGTGACAATTTTGTTTTGCATGTAAGGCATTATATAAATGCAAGTTATTATTGGTATTAATAATAAACCAAAATAGATCCATTACCTCTCCAGCTTTGTTAGCAAGTGCAATAAGGTCCCGTTTAGGGGACCACACCATACAAAGTATTTCATTGGGCAACTGTTTCTCCCCAACCTGTCGAAAAGCTGGCATAATGGCGATTCTGTAAATAAGGGAAAACAGCAACAGTTAGCATTAGGCCCTAAGATTGAACACCAACACAGAGCTATCAACCTTGGTTCAATGTCAAGAATGACACTCAGAATCAGGAAGAACAATGCACATGAAAAACTCCTTTACACAAATTGTCACAAATATGAGAGATGTGCTGGTTGTGCTGCAGAGGGTTAATGTAATGCTTGCCTTAATACTGGAGTTCCAAAAATGTCAATGGCTTGATACTTGTGTGTAAACATGTTCCAGACTTTCAAGAGCTAATTTGCAAACATTCTTTAAACCATTAATAATTAAAGGATGTTTTAACATACAATGCTAATGTTTTGCCTGCAAAAATATAATCACTGTGAATTCTGTGAAGCATTTTGAGATGTCCTCCTGATGTCAAATGCGAGGATTATTAAATGTTTGCTGGTTTGGAAAGTCTACATGATCAGGCTGGTGAACCTAGACTGTTATCCACCAGAGAGACGAAGGGCTTTGCTTCTCAGGGCCAGAGTTTGGCACTCTCTCTCTCTCAGGTCCATTGTGTTCGCGTCTGACTCTCACTCTCGTTCACAGTGACTCTGTTGCTGTCTCTCTCTCTCTCTCTTTGTCTTTCTCTCTGTCTGACTCAGTCTTAGTGTATGAGTGTCTCACTCTCTGTGCTTCTCTTTGCTTCTGTCACATCTGTTTGTGTCTCTCACTCTGTCTCAAGTCTGGATGTGTCTCTCTGTATATTTCTATGTGTGTCTCTCTCTGAGTTTCACTCAGTTTGTGTCTGTGTGGCTCTCGCTCGCTGTATATGTCTGAGTTTCACTCAGTTTCTGTGTCAGTGTTTCTCTCTATTTTATACACAGTCTGTGTTTCTGTGTCTGTCTGTGTGTACCTCTCTGTCTCATTCACATTCTGTGTGTATATACAATATATGTATATTAGTGTGGGTACAGTATATGTATATAATCTGCTCTGTGTCTCACTCACAGTCTGTGTGTGTGTGTATACAGCATACTAGTGTGTGTATGTCTGTCTATATACAGTATATATTAGTGTGTGTACAGTATATGTACATAATCTAGTCTGTGTCTAGGTACAGTATAGATTGCAGAGAGCAGAGCAGAGAGCCCAGCAGTATGAGGAGGGAACTGAGGTGGAACAGAGTGAGAATTCTGCTAAGGAATTTGGTGAGAGTGGGAATTCTTCAGCAAGAGAGATACCAGAGAGCAAGAGAGGTACCAGAGAGCAAGAGAGGTACCAGAGAGCAAGAGAGAACGCTTTCATTCAGAAGAGTGGGAAATCTTTCTTGAAGTAGAGGCGACCTTACATGTAAGCAGGCAAATAAGTCAACCATAGGCCAGATGTTGGGGATTTAAAAGTCAGCTGACCAGTCGAAACTATGTGAAGTGGAACAGAGCGCGAATTCTGCTAAGGAATTTGGTGAGAGTGAGAATTCGGTGCAGAGTGAGAATGAGGTATAAATTATAATTATAAAATATATAAGTTATATTAAAATAATATAAAACATGTCTGGGAATATGGCAGGGCAGCTGAGACTGGTTGCAGGCACAATGTGTGCCATGTGGGAACTCCAGGATCCTTTGAGTGCCCTGGACAGACACGTGTGAAGGAAGTGCCTCCAGCTGCTCGAGCTTGAACTCAAGAGTGTGTGTGGATGTGTGTGTGGATATATGTATGTAAGTATGTACAGTGTGTGTATGTAAGTACAGTGTATGTCTGTATAGTGTATGTGTGTGTGTGTACAGTGTGTGTATGTATTTACAGTGTGTACACATTTACAGTGTGTATGTATTTACAGTGTGCATGTACAGTCTGTGTACCTATGTACAGTACAGTGGGTGTGTATGTACAGTGTGTATATGTATGTAGTGTGTGTGTATGTAGTGTATGTATGTACAGTGTGTATGTACAGTGTGTGTGTATATATGTACCGTGTGTGTATCTACAGTGTGTATGTATGCACAATGTCTGTGTATGTACAGTGTGTGTGGGTATGTACAGTGTGTATGTATGTACAGTATGTATGTATGTACAGTATGTATGTATGTACAGTGTGTGTACCTATGTACAGTGGGTGTGTATGTACAGTGTGTATATGTATGTAGTGTGTGTGTATGTAGTGTATGTACAGTGTGTGTGTATATATGTACCGTGTGTGTATCTACAGTGTGTATGTATGCACAATGTCTGTGTATGTACAGTGTGTATGTATGTACAGTGTGTATGTATGTATAGTATGTGTGCATGTATGATTAGTGTGTGTGTGTGTATGTACAGTGTGTGTACATACAGTGTGTGTGTATGTACGTACAGTGTGTGTATGTATGTATATATGTGTATGTAGTGTGTGTGTATCTATGTACAATGTGTGTGTGTAGTGTGTGTATGAATGTACAGTGTATGTGTGTACAGTGTATGTGTGTACAGTATGTGTATGTGCACAGTGTGTGTGTTTGTGTGTAGTGTGTGTGTACAGTGTGTGCATGTACAGGGTATGTGTGTACAGGGTATGCGTGTACACGGTGTGTGTGTGTAATGTGCCTGTATCCAGTGTCTGTGTGTGCAGTGTGCACAGTGTGTGTACAGTGTGTGTGTGTAATGTGCCTGTATCCAGTGTCTGTGTGTGCAGTGTGCACAGGGTGTGTACAATGTGTGTGCAGTGTGTGTATCCAGTGTCTGTGTGTGAACAATGTATACAGTGCCTGTGTGCCTGTATCTAGTATGTGTGTGTGTACAGTGTGTACAGTGCCTGCGTGTGTGTATCTAGTGTATGTGTGTGCGCAGTGTGTACTGTGCCTGTATCTAGTGTCAGTGTTTGTAGTGTGTGTGTGTGTACAGTGTCTGTATGTGTACAGTTTATGTGTGTGTACAGTGCCTGTGTGCCTGTATCTAGTGTCAGTGTATGTACAGTGTGTGCGTGTACAGTGTATGTGTGTGTACAGTGTGTATGTATAGTGTGTGTATCTACAGTGTGTGTATCTACAGTGTGTATGTATGTACAGTGTCTGTGTGCGTGTATGGTGTGTAAGTGTACAGCGTGTATGTACAGTACCTGTGCGTGTGTACAGTGTGTGTACAGTGTATGTACAGTGGGTGTACAATGTGTACTGTGCCTGTATCTAGTATATGTGTGTGTACAGTGAGTGTGTGTAGTATGTGTAGTGTGTGTATAGTGTGTGTGTACAGTGTGTAGTGTGTGTGCAGTGTGTGTGTGCAGTGTGTGTGTGTGTAGGGTGTGCAGTGTGTGTGTAGGGTGTGCAGTGTGTGTGTACAGTGTGTGCAGTGTGTGTGTGTGTGTAGGGTGTGCAGTGTGTGTGTGTACAGTGTGTGTGTGTGTGTGTGTGCAGTGTGCGTGTGTAGTGTGTGTACAGTGTGTACAGTGTGTGCAGTGTGTGTGTGCAGTGTGTGTGTAGGGTGTGCAGTGTGTGTGTACAGTGTGTGTACAGTGTGTGTGTGCAGTGTGTGTGTGTACAGTGTGTGTAGGGTGTACAGTGTGTACAGTGTGCAGTGTGTGTGTGTGTACAGTGTGCAGTGTGTGTGTGAGTGCAGTGTGCAGTGTGTGTACAGTGTGTGTGTGTGTACACAGTGCTCCTCACTCCCTCCTTCACTCCCTCACTCACAGTTGGTCTCTGGGTCAGGAGCCGCCATGCTGAATACGAGCTGCGAATCGGACCAATCACAGAGCAGGCATTGTGACGTCGCTCCAACAACCAGCCAATGGCAGCGAGAGAGTGCCCCTCGTCGCGCGTGCGCTGTGTGACCCCTTGCTGGGGTGGGGGGAGGGGGAGGGGACTGTGTGCAGTGTCCTGGTTCACAACAACAACAACAACAACAACATCACATGCATTAGCAAATCAAACAAATACAAGTAGACTGAGAATTTACGCCTTGAATTCGGATTGTTGCTGAAATTTATTCAATACCCTTTCCCTTAAATGAATGCAAATAACTTAATATAACATAAATTCAATATTGTATCTAAGCCAAACCGTCTTCGGTTCACGGGCGTCCCGCCACCGGCGGCCGCACCTTCAGCCACTACGGCCTGAAACGCTGGAACACCCTCCCTCTCTCCCTCCGCCATGCCCCTTCCTTCCCCTCCATCTTCAGGTCGCACCTGAAGACCTTCCTCTTCAACGGTGACGAGAGTCACCTCCCCCCCCTCCCTCCGGCTCGGCGTCGTGCTCCGTCACTGTCAAGCGCTCTGGGACGCTGCCCTGCGTGGGGTCGCTATATAAATGCAAGGTGTCGTCACACTTAAGAACCCTTATTTTTGGAAATAAGAGGGGTAAAAAGATTATACGATAAAAGGTTAGCGGGTAACGTTAAAGGGAATCCTAATTTGTTTTACAAACCTATCAAGAAAAAAAGGTGAGTCAAAGGTAGGGTGGGGCCAATTAAGGACCAAGGGGGAAATCTTATTGTGGAGGCAGAGGGCATGGCTGACGTACAGAATGAGTACTTTGCATCTATCTTCACAAAAGAAGTGGATGCACCAAATGCCGCAGTATCAGAGGAGAGGGTAGAGGAAATGGATAGGATGAGTATAAACGGAGAGGAAGTACTGAAAAGGTTGACTGCGCTGAAGGTAGACAAGTCGCCCGGTCCGGACGGGATGCAGCCAAGGTTACTATGGGAGGCATGGGTTCAAATAGCGGAGGCTTTGGCTACAATTTTTCAATCTTCGTTGGACACAGGAGTGGTACCAGAGAACTGCAGTCGAGGGAGCAGGTGGTTGACTTCATGGAGGTTACCGTGTTGAAGACAGAGGAGGGGTTGACAGGTTTAAAATGATAGCACATCAGGATTTATTTTGGTTACACTACAGCAGGAGTACATTCAACTATTAGCAACTATTAACTAGCAGTAAAAAAAAGTCCTGTAATTGAAAGGCAGTTTGATGTATCTGGGTCCTTGGTATCTGAAATATAGAGACTTATTTTCAAATCATTCCATGCTATCACAGCTTAGCTTCATCTGCTGTCACACTGCACCAAAGATGTGATTTTTAAAATATCTATTTTTTAAAAAAAGACACAATTGTTTTCTTCCCATCTTCCATGAATGACTGAAATGAATTTTGGACGTTAATGTTATCACTCTTGTAGTGTGTTTGACTAAAACATAAAAATTATAAACAAAAATATTAAAATCAGAATTTGTCCCGAAAACACCTTAACCCTGCCAAGAACTTCTCTGCCAAAGGCTCCTTTATTCTGTGTTATAACTCTTAAAATATTGGCACCGGAATCACAATAGAACAATTTATGACTACTGTATTACTCATTTTTCCAGTTGTAATCCAGTTGGCAAGTTCATGTGTCACTGTTGTCTGGTCTATTTATCTCTGTCAAATTACCACATTTGCCTCTTTCTTGGTTGCTACAAATTTCAACTGCCCCCAGTGCTGCTGACCAAACAAGACAAAAATTTGCTGAAGTTCAGCTGAAGGCAGTTTAAGCTCAACCTGGACTGAACATAAGAGCATAAGAATTAGGAGCAGGAGTAGGCCATTCGGCCCCTCGAGCCTGTGCCCCGCTATTCGATAAGATCATGGCTGATCTTCTGACCTAACTCTAATTACCTGCCCTATCCCCATAACCCCTAATCCCTCTGTTTTTTTAAAAATCTATCAGTCTCAGCCTTGAAGATGTTCAAGGACTGAGCATCTACAGCCTTCTGGGGTCGTGACTTCCATAAATTCACTGCCCTCTGAGTGAAGAAATGTTTCCTCAACTCTGTTCTAAAAGGCTGACCCTTAATTTTAAGACTGTGACCTCTGGTTATAGATTCTCCTACCAGGGGAAACAGACCCTCAGTGTCTACTTTATCAGCCCTTTAAGAATCTTATATGTTTCAATAAGATCTCCCCTAATTCTTCTGTACTCTGGAGAATACAGCCCTAGTTTATTCAGCCTATCCTCATAGGTCAGTCCCCTCATCCCAGATCCCTTTCCCCACTTGACACACTTTGCTCATCTCCCTGGTTAATCTGCTCTCCCACTTTTATCGGCCCTAATTTTAATTGTGATGGATTACATGTGATTGAATTTACCCCCCCCACCCCCCCCCGCCCTTAGTAGTTTAAAGCCCTGTCTACCTCCCTATTTATTCGTGTTACCAGGACATTTGTCCCAGCCCTGTTTAGGTGGAGTCCATTCCTTTGGAATAGCTCCTGTCTCCCCCAATACTGGTGTCAGTGGCCTATAAAGTGAAACCCCTGCCCTCCGCACCATTCTTTTAGCCAGGTATAAACATGTCACTTTAGAGCTAATTCCCCGGTTTGGTACAAACTATTACACATTAACTATCTGGAGACCAGTATAGAGAGGGTACAAAGATCAGAAATGATTTGGTCTATGATTCAGATTGAAAAGAAGTGCTGGCTGATCTTGTTCAAAGTTCTAGGTTAAAATGCATACACGTTTCCCAGTAAAATGTTCAGCCTCAAATTTGTATTTATTTTCTCCATAGTTTCGTCATTTTTTCTATGCCAGAACCCTTTACTTCTCTTTATTTAATTTTCTGTTTCTATTATCAATATCCATCTTATTTATCTCTGATTCTTAGATTCATCCTCTGATTTTTCTCTCCTTTGCTTTTATAAATCATTTTGTCTGTCTTTTAAACCTCATGAAGGTGTTTAATAAGTTTAATCCCTCTATCACCCATAAAACTCAAACAACAATAGACTGTCTGCAATAGAACAATAACAGTGTGCATTTATATAATACCCCTCACACAGGGAAGCATCCCAAAACGCTTGACAGTGGTGCAGCATGACTCTGAGCCGGGGGGAGGTGACCCTAGGCACCGTCGAATAGCAAGGTCTTCAGGTGCGACCTGTCGAATAGGAATGGGGAAGGAATGGGCAAGGCAGAGGGATAGAGGGAGAGCGTTCCAGAGTTTCAGGGCATAGTGGCTGAAAGCATGACCTACAAAGACGGAACGGAGGGCACGGGGGACATGCAGAAGGCTGGAGCCAGTCGAGCGGAGGCAGTGGGGTTTTGGTTGGGGGCTAAGCAGGTCGGAGAGGTAGGGAGATGCCTGGGCATGAAGGGATTTGAAAATGAGTGTGAGGATCTTGAAATAAAGAGGAGGGTGTTAAGAAAACAAAATATTTTTAAAAAAAATTAAATATCCACTTAGGTGAAATATGTCAGGTATCTTTGGAACTGCTACCAGCATTGGTTATTACCTTTAGAAGATTAAGGGAGAAAAGCAGGAGGAATATTAAAAATGTATAATATTCAAAAATATTTGAAATACAGCAACTTGCATTTCTGTAGTGCATTTTTCATAGAAGAGTGTTTTGAAGTGCTTAATAATGATGGTGTCGGGTATTGAAGCAAGGGAGAGCGGAAAATAATAATAATAATAATAATCCTTGCATTTGATATAGCGCTTTTCATGTCATCTAGACGTCTCAAAGCTCTTCACAGAATATATCGTAAAATGAATTGACCATATATTTGTGGGTGAAATGCGGCAGCCAATTGTGCACAGCAGTGTCCCACAAACAGTCGTGGATTGAAAATGACCAATTTATTATTGTTTTGGAGGAATTATTATTTGGCATGTGGAGTAAGGAAACTTGCCCAAGGTTTCGCCCTGCCTTGTGTGGTGCACATCCACAGATAAGAAGAATATCCCAAAATAATCAAAGGCATGGTCAAAGAGGTAGCTTTTTATATAATAATAATCCTTTCATTTGATATAGCGCCTTATCATGTTTTCAAGACACCTCAAAGCGCTTCACAGAATATACTGTTAATTGTATATTTTATATGTATATATATGTATATAGACTGTATATTTTGTGGGTGAAACATGGCAGTCAATTGCGCACAGCAATGTCCGACAAACGGTCATGGATTGTGTGGCCAAATTTTTTTTAAGGAATTATTACCCCCGAAAAAGGGATCCGCCAATTGACTAACAATCGGGTTCCTACTTACTGCCAGGTAAAATTTTAGGCTGGATTTAAAGACAGACGGAGATGGGCGAGATGGAGGGGAAGAGGGACCTAATTCCAGAGGTCAATAGTTCAATGAGAAAAGGGGGAAGGAAACAGTAACTGTGAAATCTTTCATAAAACCAGCTTGGAGTCTCATGTGGTGACAGTAAACAGGTTGCCAGTTCATCCTGTTTAACCATTCTCCAAATGTCAAGCTCAGGGTAGGGTGATTCAGTCTAATGAACCTCCTGAACTCATGGCATGTGCGTGCAGCTGAAAGTGAAGATAAGACTAAATGGAGGCATTAGCCCATTCATCACACATCTAGAATCTGCTGAAGGTAGGTAAGCTAACCCGAGAATTTAAACTTTAATGAAAATTGTTCCGTTATTGGGTATCTCTTGAGGAAATAATCACAAGATAAAATGTATACTCAAATGCCTCAAAATTAATAAATTACTAAGGAGGCTACAGAAAATAGTTCAGACCTGAGCATATAAATTCAAAATGCCTTTTGACCTTAAAACAATGCCAAGCTGCCTCACAATAAGAAACTCTGTAAAGTGTTACACAACAGTGTCATAAACCAGCAAACTGTAAACCACACAATAAATTACTGCTGATAAAATTACTTCATAATAAAAATGCTCTGCAATACATTAACTCATGAAAACTCAGGACTTTGTTATTTTCTGCCAATTGGTAGCATGTTACAGTATGATTAATATTGTGAGGATGTCAT